CGTAGCTGATTAATTGTGTTTTAAAAAAGTTGAAATTAAAAAATAGTTAGAATGTAGCTGGATTATTCAGAAAGCTTTTTTGATCTGTTGAATCTTGATGTTCGGCTTTAACAAAAGAGAAATTTTTAAAAAACCATGGAGTTTCAACGATCACACAATGTTTATTTTTTCCATGTCATCATGTGACTTTACTTTCTTGGAAAAAAAGTTATTGGGTACAGTACCTTAGCTTGAGAAAAAAAATTATGGAACAGACAAATATTTTATTATTACCGCTTATGATTGCACTTTTTCACACGTCTGTTAAATATGAGTATTTTTGTGATTTAGTTATTCTGAAAGCAAGATAAGTAATATATCTGATGCACTCCTTTTAATCTCGTTCTTTTTTTTCAGAAAGTAATTTTAATATGAGTTTCTCTTTTCTGTCTATTAACTGTGAAAAAACGATCACTTTACTTACTTAGGAAAAGTAGTGAAACGATGAAATGCTAAAGTAATTATATGTGCATCAAACTCTCCATTAAATTACCTTGATACTGTAAGTAAATACAATATTAGTAAGTTATTGGAGCTCCTTTTTCTTGTTATTTTAATTATTGTTCATTATATCTAACTTCATCAGACATTTGCCGGTTTATGAGTCGTTTCAGTGAATCTTTTGAGGACTACCGCTCCTATTTATTGGATCCGTTTTTATCGGTTTTAATCTCAAAGCCTTTTCATATCTTGAATTAAATAAACGCGCGTTTGTATACTTTCCTCACTTAAAAAATTATACAATATTTAAAGTGCACAATAAGAACTGATAATTTATGTTTTTATATATTCCTTTCATTGAACTCGTGTGTTTCTCATCTTGTACTGGATAGATAATGAATGCAGTTAATAGGCAAAACTCGTATGCCAATCACTACACACGGACTCACGATGATATTAGATCAGAGAATCAGTTATTTAGCAGTTGAGGGCTACCAGCCATCTTCCTTATAAAACTTTTGCACTTGATCTTCTCTTTGCTATACTCGGCTCATAAAGGTCAATAACAAATATAACCTTTTATTATACATTTTATCCGTGCACTCTTCGCGCAGTTTTAAAGTGCCCGACGCGTTTCGCCGAGATACATTAAAAAAAGAAAACTGAAATGATATGTGATGATATTAAAGTAAACGGAGTTTGACGATGATAGACGATGATGAGATTAGTTTTACTATAATAACTAGAAGATCTCTTCTATGAAATCGTTATAATATATTGTATTAGTTTCTGCAATAGTCCTGTGCTGTAAAAACCAGAGCTGGGCAAGTTAAGTTAAAAATGATTTACGTCAAGGCAAGTCATTTTTGACTTCACTTGGAGATTTTTTGAAAAGACTTGACTTGTAACTTGGTCTGAAAAAACCAGTTAAGTCACCAACTAAGAAAATCAGGTTTTTGTAACGAATCTTAGGGATAATACATGACTAGATCGGGAATTTTAATCCAGTATTAGATTAAAGTGCTCTTTCACTGAAAAACCATGGCTTGATAAGTGATTTTAGCCATTCTTCAAAAGCAATTATGAAGATAAAATCGCAGAAAAATCCATTTCATATTAACACAGTAGGCGAGTACTCAAAACTCCACAGTCGTGCTTTAGAGTAGAGAAAGGAATGAAGTCTATTAAACTTTGAGGATTTTTCTACGAAAAAGCATTTCAAGTCATGACGTGTGATTTGACTGGACTTTACTTGGAAAAACTCAAGACTTGCTTGGCTTGAGAGAAAATTTTATGACTCATGACTTGACTCGATTTCACTTGAGAAAATTTTTTGTTGACTTAACTTGACTTCTGACTTGCCCAACGCTGATGAAAACAGTAAAGATTGACTCAAAGATTCATCCCTGTTATGATTGATTTAGATATAATTTATGCGCCAGTTCATTTTTTGTTTTGTCACACTAATTGTAAGCGAGCTGAAGTAACAATCTTCAAAAAAATCATCAAACTTCGGTATGTAATTTTTTTCGACACGTGAAATTCAGGTTTTGGGAAAAAAATGCAAAGGTGTAGGCGAAAGTGAGTGCTGTTTGTAGAAAGTTTTATTTTCGATTTCTCAAAATTATTTTTGCTAAAACAGATCAATAAGCGAAGAACAAATAAAAAAAAATTTTCAATTTTTAGCGTGTCAAAATTTCTCAACAACTTTTTAGTGGTTATGAAAACCTTCGGAATAACCAACAGATTCTACACTTGTAGGCCAATGTCAATTTACCTTTTTCTTTTATGACATGATCTTGTTATTTTAATGTAATAAAAAAAAAAATAATCATTTCGCTTTTTTTTTCATGTCGTACAGGTGAGATGCGGGAATAATATGAAAGAAAGAAGGCACATATGACTATTAACAATTTTATCAAACAAATAAATAAATAAATAAATAAATAATATATGTATTTAATTTTCTGTTGATCCCATGACTCCGATAAAAAAAGTGTTAACGTAATTGTTTGTCTGAGACATAAATAGGATGGATACAACAGTATTTATGATTTTTTTTGTAAAAATTATTGTAATTTTCAAGAAAGAATTATACATTTAAGTCTAATGCAAAAAAAAACATCGTTTTATATCATTTGGAAAACACCTACTACTATAGCTAATTTTGTTTCCACGTTTACTCATTCACTGAATTCGTGCTGTGCATGCTCGTCACGTGTTTGAACATGTAATGAATTCAGTTGTTAATAAAAGTTTAACTTTAAAATTCATTTCATAAATTCGTATTCATTTCGTTTTTTTTTCCAATCGTGTGGTAAATTTCAATCATAGAAAAAATGTTTGCAGAATTTGGGAAAGGTATATGTGAACCATCTCATTTAAAGCATAGAATTAGCTGAATTAATCATAAAAATCAATTGTGTTGAAATCATACGTTCGTCGCCTGTTTTCTATTAGAATTTAAGATTCTTTTCTATTTCAATGGTATAATAGCAAATTTGTATGTGGTTAGTTTGTGTTTTTTGATTTTATTCCTTCGTCATGTTTATTTACAACAATATAAAAATAAAGTAAAATGTACGCTCTGACACTCAGCTGTTTTCTTTTCTATTTTTTGTTCTTATAAGTATTAGAATAATAAAAAAATAATAGTAAAATAATCTCACTTATTTTTCCCATTATCAAATTTTAGATTGTATTTATAAAGTAGAACAAAAAATCTGTAGTGGTATTATTATCCGTAATTACCTCGAACCCATTTCGACTTACTTTTTGTAAATATTATTCGAGCATTAATCATTTTCTTTCTTTATGTTGTTTGATTCAATGGTCCTAATGCATAATTGTACATGTAACAAATCGGTTAAATTGGTCCCGTTTTTTCATCAGGTATGTAGTCTTCTTGCCTTTTGTTATGTCTAAGAAGGGATGAAAGAAAAAAATGGTGAAATTTAAATACACAGTCGATAAAAACAATTATTAGTATGATCGTCTTTTTCACTCTCATTTCTCAGCTATTCTGAGAAATGTTTATTCGAAAATAAAAAATAATGTATGAAATAGAGAGAAGTGTGAGCTTTCTAGAAAAAACAAAAATAGTTTAATTTTTTAGTAGAAAAAATATTAATGTTAATGAGCTCAATTGAAAATATTTTTGAAAAATTAAAATTTTAAATCTAGAGTTGAATCAAAACATAATTTCAAATATATCAAAAGAAGGAGCGAAAAAAGTTGCATCGTCTGATCGAATTTATACTTTATAGAAAAGTTTTTTTATTAGGCTTTATCAGAGGATTTCTTAAAACTGATCGAAGCAAACTTTTCGAAGAAGATATCTTTTCTATAGCAGTTAGTGGTTTCAAAATTATTCTGTTTAGTGTTGCTTAATCAGCAGAAAATTCTCTACAAAGTTAGCCGTAAAGAAAGTCCGCAAAATGTTTAATTACATCGAAAACGTTCAGTTCAGAATCAGTGCGTGCCTGCCTTCTTTCCGATTCACTTACGTGACTACATGCTTCTTTTTGATATTTTCACCGAATGATATTGTTTCTTTATATCCTCGTTCAGATCGTTAGCGATCACATCCAAGAGAGGACAAACGAGTATTTAGTATAAAGAAACAAATCAATCAGCGGAAAAACAACAGCCGTATTTTTTGATCATAGCTCATCCTAACCGACCACGCGGTAACATGAGAAAGATAAAGAAATGAATTCAATTTTTCTTTTCTTTTCATTTTTTTTTTCACATTTGCACTGGAAAGACTAGTTACAACTGTGAAAAAAATCAGTCCAAGTCTCTTATACCTTCAGTCTCAATCCGTATGAAAAAAACCTATCAGTCCGAATTTAGACCTGCCCATCTCTGCTTTCTCTACAGGTAACTTTGTAGGAAATATAAACCTGGAAGATCACTGAAGAAAAAACTATATTACCAGTGTGGATACTAGAGATTGACAGCTTCTCGATGGTAAAAGCCCGAACTCGATACGATTTTTGGTTCTGGAGATAATTGGGAAACAAAAAAAAGAGTTCATTCACATTGTACGAATAATGTTTTTACTGAATGTAAACTTAAGAAAGTTTCATATGAGTAAGTCGAACAAGATTTTATACGTGCAAACTTTGATAGCCTCTCTAATTAACGAAAAATATCATTTGTTTTTTATTAATGCTTATCAAGTTAAGTCAACATTAATGAAACGTTGAAGAACGGGTGGTCCAGATTAAGCTGCCGGCCTTTGCAAGGTTTTTTTTCTGAAGTTAAGTTTGGTCACAAAATTTCATTTGGATATTAGAACGATAGTGAATTTTGCATACATTTTAGTCAGATATTCCCATTGAAATAAATAATTGCCGTTTTACAGCATATCTAATGCTGTAGATAATGAAAGCCACAAAAAACAATTGCTCAACTGAAGAATTACAAAGTTTTTTAAAAACAAATTTTTGTTCAGTTAAACAAGTGTAAACATTTGGTTTTAGTCGTAAAAGATGCAGAATTTCTCAGTGTATTTGATGGTATGTTCGTTCCTATAGTCTTATTTGTTCCTGCTTTCTAATATAAAAAACATATTCGGCCAATGAGATTTTTGACGGTGTTTTGCAAATATTGACGAACAAAAATTATTTTTTTAATATGAGCAGATGTAAAATTTCAAAATCTAACAGATGTCATTCTTCCCATCGGTTCATTGTCTGCCATAATAAATGACGAAGTTACGATATTTACTTACAAAAGCCGGATCACAAGGCAGATTTTGTAAGCGATTTCTATGACTCATAAACATCATCTGAAAATTTGGTTTTGTACCTAAAATATTAAGACTTGATTCTGGTTTTTGATGTCTTGTTTGAATCACGCAACAATACTATTTTGACTACTAAAAAAAATTACACTTTATTTTAGCCAAAGTGCTGAGCAACTCTGCTTTTTATAGCGTTCAGCATTTCTAATGCTGTAGAAAAACAGCAATTATTTATTTCAAAAGGAATAATATATGACTAAAATCTACGCAAAATTCTCTATCGTTCTAATATCTAAATGAAATTTTGTGATCAGGCTTAACCTGAGGAAAAAGTCTTACAAAGATCGGCAATTTAATCTCCAACCGTTATCTATATTAGCCGATAATTCCAAACTGGCCGAGACTAGCTAAAAATATGTTTTAAAACATGGATTTTAGTTCCACAATGAAAACTGAGCCCTAAGTTTGAACCTTTTAAAGCATTTGGTTAACTGTACAACATTAGGAGGGCATTTAGAAGCACACCATTTGGCTGTTGTACACCCTAACGCCACTATAGTAACATTTATCTAACATTTAAAGCTTATATTTGAATTTCACCATTTTACATTCACCAATTACTCTCTCGTCTTTTCTCAGGAAATTCTTTGTTTTTCATACTAGAAGGCATGTTTCTCAAATTAGGGCATGAAATTTTTGTTAAAAAAATGATTTTATTCTGTTTAGGTCGGCGGTCATAGTAGCATGTTTGAATATGATAAAAATACAATATGTAAATTAGGAGATCCTCATGAAGTTGATTTTTATCAATTGATGCCAGAAACACTTAAACCATTTACACCTGAGTATAGAGGTAATAATTCGTCTATGTAAATAATATTTAACACGATATTTAACATCATTTTTTTTTCTTTTTGTTCAAGGAATAATTACTGTTCAGTATTGTGAAGATGAAAATGGAGTAATTACACTTGTTGCATCTCAAGATCATACCGAAAATACTAATAGTCAAACAGAAGATGTTATGTCATCGTCTGAACAAACAAATCAAGGAAAAAATATAAAAATTTATCAACATCAATCATCGACGACTAGTCAAACTGATTTCAAACAACAAGCATCATCACCACCTACAACACCAGAAGTGTCAAAACTGAGCTATTCGAATAGTCTAAAAAAATCTGTACAGTACGTTATTCTTATTTGTTTATCGAAATTACATTTAAAACTTATTATATTTGTTTCGTTTAAGGTTACGCTGTTTTAAAGATGGTCATGTAGACTATTCAATCATATCTCCCTCATTACTTGATGTTATTAATTATGATCAAGGTAAAACAGAAGCAAAAGTAAATCCATGGTGTTTAAAAATGTGTAAACAACATGCAGAAAAGATGCATCAACTAGTTGGAGATAATACAGAAAATACAGTGTCAGAAAGTAAGTGAATTTTTAGCCTTTAGAAAACAGTATGATATTTAATTCGATTTCTATTCATTATAGCTTTTATGTTACTCGAGAATATTACAGCACGTTTCAAATATCCTTGTATATTAGATCTGAAAATGGGTAAACGTCAGTACGGTGATGTAGATTCAGATAAAAAGAAATTATCAAAAATACAAAAATGTGAATTATCAACATCGTCAAAATTAGGAACAAGAGTTTGTGGCATGCAGGTAAATAATTATTTTATTTTTTTATGATATTTATATAAAATAAAAGAGAATTTATTGCATTATTTTATATATAAAATTTTTTAAGGTTTATCAAGTTGATAATAGTCGTTATATTTGTTTTGATAAATATGCTGGTCGTAAATTAACTATTGATGGTTTTAAACAAACACTTCGACAATATTTAGACAATGGTGTACAATTACGTACTGATGTTATTCAACCAATACTCGAACGATTACATGCATTACGCACGATTATATGTACACTTTCACGATATCGTTTTTATAGTGGAAGTTTATTAATTATTTATGAAGGTTTACAACAACAAGGACAATCAATATCTGATGAATCTAGTTTAATTGATATAAGAATGATTGATTTTGCTCATTCATTACGTGCATCACCCATCAGTTCAGATGTCACTCCATCACATACCGGACCAGATAAAGGCTACTTATTTGGTTTAGATAAAATAATGGACTTATTAAACGATATATTAAAAGAAAAAAGTACAACGACTATAGGTGCTACAATAGGAGCAACAGCAATGAAAACAATTGACAAAAGAGAATAACTGTAATTTTTGTATTTGTATACTATTAGGTACTGGCTGTTAATACTTAATGAAATTGCAAGCTATGAAATAGAACTTTTTTTTTTTTCATCAGTGCAATATTTACAGTATTCTTTCGCTTGTGCAGATTCTTTTTGTTTCCTTCATAAAATCTCTTTTGTTTTCCCTTTTATTCTTTCTCTCTTTCTCTTTCTCTCTCTATCTCTCTATCTCTCTCTATCAGAAATTTGAATCATTGTACAAAAACAGTATTTTCTGTATTTATTTCCCGGTGTGTCTAATATTGATGGGGCTGTATTTTTCTCATTTCGGAAAAAAAAGTAGAAAATAAATCAAAAGCACAGTGATAGGTTTTATTTTTCATGTTTTGTTCTCTCTCTCTCTCTCTCTCTCTCTCTCTCTCTCTCTCTCTCTCTTTCTCTCTCTCCCTCTCTCTCGTTTGGTCTTTCTTTCTTTTTTAAGTGAATAACTAAATAACTTATCCCGGTTGCCAAATGTTGATTGCTGTTGTTTTTTCCTTCCGCACAATAGTCTTGTTCATCTCCCACCTGTATATATGATAAATATAGCATTTTCAATAAAAATGAAAAATATCCTATACATTCGATATTTAGTAGAAGTGATTTATGAAAAAGAAATTGGAATTTACACTACAGCTACAGTAATCTTATATTATCATCATTGTTTTCAGTTTGATACATGTTCTTCTTTATACGGCCTTAAAACTTTTTTTCACTGTTATGGTACATTTAAAATGAAATGAATGTAAGTTACACAAATTAGTTTTTGTAGTTCCTAACTTTGAAGATCTGAAAGAGAATGAAAAATTAAAACGAGAACTTTTAATTAGATTTGAATTTGAGATTTATCTTAGCTACTTCTTTTTACCTTCAGTTAACCTTGTTTTATATAAGATAATCCTAGTGTGTATCTTGGCTCTTATTCCGATATTAATATTTATGACAGTCGATCGTATTCTCTCCCCCTCCTTCTCAGGAAAAGAAACTATAATTATCTGCTAATCAGATAACTACTATTGTCTATGTTAATTTATTTATTCACCTTTTGTGTTTATAGGACTATTTGTTTACATTTTTTTTTGTTCTCTTTGGTTTTGCCTTTTTCAGGTATCTAGTATTCGAATGAAATATTAGCCATAAGTTTTTGTCTTTTTTTGATGTTTTATTTTTTCACTGTTTCATATGTCATCCATTCATATTTTTCTTTCTCATTAACTATTTTGTTTTTGTATTCGAATTATTCTGGAGACCTATTTTCTTTTTGACCATTTGCTTTTTTGTTCTTTCTGCTTTTTTTTGTGCATATAAAAATAAAAATACTTTTAAGTCCGAACTTTTAGTTTATATGTGTGATCAATTTCATATATTCCTGTAAAATGTTGTTTATCTGAGTCTTGACATTGTTGTTCCATTTAACAAAAAGAGTCTGAGAGTACGAAACACCGCTTATGAAATACGGATGATAACCTACATAGTACAGGATTGTCAAATTTAAACGTCTGAAAGTGATTAAAAATAAAAATGGAGAACATTTTTCTCGCTTCCCAACACATTTCTAAGGTGAAAAAAATATTCGTTTCGATAAAGATGTATTTTCAAATCCGTAGATTTAGGAAGATTAGTGATTATAATTAAACTAATAAGAAAATGAAGTTTATCAAAAATGACTGCATTTAATCAAGAAAGGAAAATGGAAAAGGTGCAGTAAGATAGTAATTCTTATATAGTGTTTTGACACACGTGCCTCTTTGATCAACACCATTAGCATTACTGTTATGAATGATAGTAATTGATTTTTTCTGAGAATTAAAATTTGTACTAGGTTAATTGGCAAAACTAAAGCTGTTTGAAGATAGAACTCTAACGTGTACTAAAATTTAATAGTTTTTGTTTCTTTTTATTTTATTATTTATTAATGTGAGAGAAAAAGAAATTGTTCGTATATTTGATTGAAAAGTTTTATAAAATTTTTTGAAATTATGATTAATCTTTCGATGAAATGAAATAATATCAATCACGAAACATACATCATTTGTCTATGATATTTATTTAGTATGTAGTTAGTATCCCATTGTATGTCTATTACATACGCTATTTGGTTCTCTGTTCATATCAATTTCAATTCTAATAATTGATTACGTGATATATTAAACGAAATGAAACGATGAGAAAGAAGAAGAATCTTTGTTCGAACTTCCTCTATGAAGAAAAATAAAAAATGATTACATATTTCATGATGATATATATAGGTTCAATTAGTAGCCAGTGTGATGAGAATGGATCATGTCACTCGTTATAAATGAAATATTAGTCGTTACAAAAAATTTGATGCTCATTAAAAAAACAACAAAAAGAAAAGAATTTAATAATTTAGAAGTAGAATGACGAGAAGAATATATTTAAGAGATAAAAAAAATTGCTAAGATCTAGATTTTATTTGATGTATATATTTCTTCTTTTTTTTTTAAATCAAAACAAATTATTTCCATATCAGTTGATATGAAACCATTGTTGTTACTTGTTTATTTTATTTATCCAAGAGTGTTAATATAATTGTTTACGGTGATATCTGTATAGAAAAAAAAAAAAGAAAAAAAAAAGAAGAAATTAATAACATTTTAGAGATCTATTAAGCCAACAGATGCATATTTAGTATGAATTTCTCTCTATATTGTATATAGTCTATAGTCTAAAGCTATTATGTGACAAGTATTTTTATACTCATAAAATTTGATTATTCTCTATAGAAGTAGAATTTGTTTTTTCTTCATAACAGGGGAATAGAATTTTTTTTTTTGTTTTGTTTTGTTTTGGAAAATGTGGAGAGAATAAAATTTGTCCTTGTTTGTTTGATGAGAAGAAAAGAAAAACGTAGAGACATCCGGTACATCCATCTCATTAACATTTTTGAGATAAAACACAGAGAGACTAGAGATAAATTTTTTCAGTATGTTTTCTGATAAAATTTAGCAGTGATAGTATTAATAAGCAGATAATCCTATTTAGAGTCAAAAAAATAACACTAATATGTGAATCAAGGTATACTATGGATCACATCGTTTTACATTTAGGTATGCTAGAAGCCAAAATGTATATTTCTATAGACAACAAACGACATTGTCATTGATTAAATAAGAGAAGAAAAATAAAAAACATAAAAAACTATCTTCTTTTATCCACTTATATGTAAATAACTGAAGCAAGACACTTTCAATTAAGAAACATTTTTCAATGAGAATCTAATACTTTATTTTATTGTTGTCATTTCTAATATAAAAAGAACATTCTTAGGTCGATTTACATGAAGACAAAATAATAATAATAATAATAGATTCTCTAACCCGTTGAACTTTTTTTCTTCTCATTAGATGGTGGATGATAGACAGAAAGGATTTTTTATATCATTTCCAATTTTTTTTTCTTGTTTTTTTTTTTTGTTTTTTTTCTTTGTGTTTCGTCAGCATGTCATCATAATATTATATTATTTGTAAAATAAAATACAAAATCCACAAATGCACACTTGTATATAAATAAAAAAGAATTTTTTTTTTTTTGTTTTAACAATAAAAAAAGAAAAATCATTTTGATTGTCATATAGACTAATAATAATAATAATAATAATAATAATAATAATAATAATAGTAATAACAAAAAAATAGAAAACAAAGTAGTTCCATTTTATATACGTACACTTTGATTTAGTCCTCTATCTTTATTTGTCAATAATACATATCGTTTATGTCGATTTGATTGATTAACGTTATTTACATAAGTTCGTCTCAATATGGGATATGACATTTGATGTTGTTCATGACTTTTGTCAATATAATAGATTTCATCAAATGGTGATTTTTTATTATGTAAAGAAAATTCTTTTGTTTTCTCTTCATCAATCTCCATCTGTTCTTCATTCAAATTTCCTAGATCATTTATAATCGTCTAAAGTTAAAATTTTATCAATATTTTAGCTATCTTCAAACGCTATTTCTACACAGTATGTCTAAAATTATGAATCATTTTTTTAATTGTAATGACTCATATATTTTTGAACATTTTAATAAACTAACAATTGAATCATCGAGAGAGAGAGAGAGAGAGAGAGAGAGAGAGAGAGACTAAAACAATTTATTTAAACTATCATATTTTTTTTACATTATTATGAATTCCAAAAACGATCTATTATTACACACTTACTTGTGAAAATGGTTTTTGTGAAGATTGTTGTTGTTGTTGTTGTTGATGATGATGTTGTTTTTGTTTTTTAATTGATGTACCAGAATTATCACTATCTTTTCCTCCACTATCATGTGTACAATATTGTGCTGTTGATAAACGTTTACAATCTTTTCGTCTTAAATATTGTTTTCGTTTAAATTGACTATTTGTCTGAAACCATATACCGATAACATTAAAAAAATGTTTACGAAATTCAGTACCCGTTAAACAATAGACTAAAATATTTCCTGTATGATTTGCATTCATTAATATAATACATATTAATTTAATCATTTTATATTTAGCTTTTAAACGTAGATTACATTTATTTTTTAATATGGAATTTGATGAAAATGTTTTTTGTTCAAACATTAAATAGAAAACAATTGGTGCAGTTAATAATGCAAACATGGCATTAACACTTAATAACATTACACTTAAATTTTTAGCTACAATACGTTTATTTGAATTATGTGCATCTGTCATTGTTGTAACAACACTTATAAATATGACAATTGAACATAAAAACATTAACGTAAATGGTAAATAAACATTAATTGTAGCATCAATATAAATCCAAACATTATAGTAAAAAAAACGATATTTATTATTGTGTTCTGATGAACATTGAACAACATTTATATCAATATCATCATCGACAAGATGATAAATTGATGATGATGATGGAGAAGAAACGATATGAAAATCGCCACGATTATTATACTGACTAGAATTTTCTATTGATAGTGTAGATGATGCTAGAGAATCATGCCACGTAATACCATGACTAAAGAAATAAAATATAGACAATATTTTCAATTATAATAGTAAAAAAAGGTTATAAAAATAAGACTATAATGATCTGTATAAATATTTAAAATTATTTGAAATTATAAATATCTAAAAAATAATTACCTGGAAGAAGAAACATCGGTGTATGATGATCGTTTTATTGTCTGTTTTTTATCTTTTGATGATGAATACTTATTATCATAGAAAAAAAATTGTACATTTAATAAAAATAAAAACGTAAATATAATTAATAATGTAATATATGTTAAACGTGTATTTTTTGGTTTTCGTACACGAGTTAATGCAATAACACGATCAAGTGAAACAGCTGTTAATATCCATGCACTCGCTTGTGGAAAAAAATAAATTGAAAATGAATAAAGTTTACATGCAAATAAAGAATATTGTTGAATATCAATTTGAAACCAAGAATGTATCATAAAATTAAAACAAAATGTATAGAGTACGAGTAAATCAATTATACTTAATACGGCTAAATAGATAAATGTTGAATTTTTACGTAATTTTGAACGTAAAACAACGTAAAATGACAATATATTACCTTCAAAAGAAAAAAATTGAAAGTTAATTAAACTAAAAAATTTTTCTTTTTCTTTGTTTTCGTTTTCATCTCATAATTTACCTATAGTACCGATAATAACAAACAAGGGTGGATAAATTCTTAATAATGCCAATGTTATTGTTCTAAATGGTTCAGTATTTATATAATCATTATTTGATGATATTGACAATTCGATTAGAGCTTTTTCACATGACGTTACATTCAACATTTGAAAAATTCATTTAATAACTAATGATGATACTCTTAGCTGCATAATAGATTGAAATTAACAGCAACTAAAAAAAAACAAAACAAAACAAAAAACAACAACAGTATAATGAGAAAAAAAAAAAAGAAAAAAAAAAGAAGACGAGAAGTTTTTAGGATTATTTAATAACGAAATAATCGATATCTTTTTTTTTGCCTTGTTGTTTACCCATTTCATTTTGATATAAATACAAAAAAAAACCTCTATGAAATTAAATTAGAACAATTTTGAGATTTATTTTTTTATTTTATCGAGGAGTAACAATACGTAGTATATAAATAGAACGTTTTTTTTTTTTTATTTTTTTTTTTTTTTTAGTCAATCTACATTTGTACACGAATAAAGACAGTTTCTATTAGACAATGTTCAATTCTCCTAATAAAAAGCTTACAACCGTATCAAATTGAATTGACAAGATTATTTTTCACATAGTTAATATTTATTATTATTATTTTTTAGATTTATATTTAATTTGACATTTTTTCTCTATATCACTTACTTCTATGTATGACACAAACAACTATTGTTAATCATAAAGTAAGTACAGTAATATTTTTATGAGTTAGATGTTATTATTTTTATTGCATTTTAATCAGAGTAAAAAAAAACATAAAAAAGAGAAACATTTCGAACAACAATTTTTTTTTATTTTTTATTTTATTTTAACAGAAACAATGATAATAGATGAAGTTAATGTTCATAGTCTAGAATTGTTTATCTAATATTATGCTTTTATTAGCGAATAAAAGTGTATAGAACACCCAAAATCCATTTGGATATAAAAAAATAGATGTAGAAACAAAAAAAAAAACAGCAAAAATACAATGAAGAGAGACAGGCGAAGTACTAATATTTCCCTCTCTCTCTCTCTCTCTTTGTGCTGTATCTTTTTTCCTCTGCTGTAAAAAAAAGAGAGAGAGAGAGGGAGGAAAAACGTCACTATGAGGTGCGATTATTAATGAGGGAGAGAGAGAGAGAAAGAAAGCGAAAAGAAAGAACTAATTATATTTGTTTTCAAAAATATAAAGAACAAGTCACTTTAAACGTCACCGAAACGGATCAATTTAATTTGATATAAACATCATTATCAATTATGTTCAAATTTTTTGTTTTTATCTTAAAAAAAGGACATGCGAGTTTCCTTTTTATTTTTTCCATCTAGCCTTTTTGTTTTGTTTTCTTTAATCTAGATGTGAAGATTAAACGGTTTGATAAAAAAATAGCCGACATAGAGATTATAAATTATCGTGACTTAATTTTAATTATTATACGTTGGAAAACGTTTTTATTCTCGTCTTTAGTTACGTTACTCACTTATTAGCTGTACATATCACTTGTCATCGTATACCTTGAATTTTTTCCTCTACAGCTACTAGTTTAGAATTTAGTCCATATTTTTACTAATTAGTAAGTGTTCTCACTATCAAAATTTATATTTTTATGGTCTCAAGATGTTCATACACGTGCAATTTTTAAATTTAATAACTAAGAATAGTATCCAGCACGCTTGTTTTTTTCTCATCTTTTTTAGAGTTTTACACGAGTGATGAAGGAGTCAAATTCACAATGGAGTTGAAATGAGAGAAGAAAAATTATCTATGATTATTTGTCGCCTGTCTCTCTCTCTCTCTTCCTTACACGCAGATAATTTCGAACTATGCTTTAGGTCAACATGAACTGCTATTGGATTCAAACGTTTTTTATTTTTATTTTTTGCTTCTCATTTTACTTTATAACCATGCAATATTAATTATGTAAAAGTAAGCTTATTAGCAATATTCTTATAGATAGAATTAGATGAAACAAAATATTTTTTCCGGTTATACACTTTTTTATATGATATTCTCTGTTGTTCTGTAATAAAGTCTAATGGATTTCTAGAGTGTTTTTTATATGATCCTTTTTTTTTGACATGAGCCGATTTAAGAGTTGACAGCAAAAAATATGTAATAAATCGCGATAATGAAACTGTTTTAAAACATACGTATCATTATGAACGTGTATATTTGTTTATATTTAAGTACTCCTCTCATCGTACAAGAAATTTTTACTAATTATTCTATCGATTTTAAATAAAATTAGATACAAATGAGAGATAATTCTATTTTCTAAATATAAAATTAAGTTTTTTAAATTCTAATGAGTACTTTTTTTTTCATACGAACTTTATTTATTCCAAACGTTTCGATTGATAGTTCAATCTTCCTCAGTGGATACAAACATTAATTAAATTAATTAAAACATACATAAATAAAACAATTTGAACAGGAAATTTTAACATAGGGATATTTTTCCCTTTTGTATTTTAATATAATATATTATACTATAGAAAAATACAAAAGGGAACATGCAAGAGGCAGCCACAACGGTGGTACATCACGGTGGTACGGTGGTTCTTATAGTTTTAACGTAGAATAGACTTCAGTTTTTTTCTCCGTTTGTTGGTAAACGTGTTGAACTAAATAAAGAAACACTGACAGCAGTTTATCTGTATATGCCTACTTTATTTTTGCCAAATTATCAGAATGACACTTATTTTCTACTTTGAATGCCTAGTAAACTAGGAGTCAAATGGAGGAAATATAATATATTATATAAAAATACAAAAGGGAAGAATATCCCTATCATATTAACTTTTCAAAAATAAAATTAAATGTTTGAACAAAAAAAAAAAAAAACATTAAAATTTCTTCTTACATCAAATAATGGAATAGAAAATATTACCCATGTTACGCTTCATTTAAAACTAAACTTGAAAGAAGACATTATTCATTTTCTACAACCGTATAAAGATGCATGAGATTTTTTTTTTTACATTAGATTAAATCGATTGTGTGAGCTATATAGACAATTTATTGAAGTCAAAATTATATATAGTTTTTCTGTTATAGACTGTTATTGTCTATCAAATAAATATCGTGTTTTTATTCTTCTATTTTTTTTTTGTTTTTGGTACGTCTAGTAGCAGGCGTCGTCATACTAATAGTAATCGATCAAATAAACAATTACGTTTTAAAATTTATATTTTGATTGTGTTGTGTAATATTTGGTAAAAAAAATAACATTGAAAAATGAAGAAAAGAAAAACGAAGCAATAACAACAACAATTTTTCTGTACTAAAAAACAGAAATCTGGTTTATCTTTGGAATAAATCGTTTACTGCTTGTGTGTGTGTGTTTTTTCATCCTGAGAACAAAAATTTACTTCTCTATTTGAGATAGTAGATCGACATATGTACACTTTTGTATCTGTCTATAATATGGATATCATTTTCTATTTATCTATGTCATTAAAAAAAAGTTCCTTCCATTTTCTGTGAACGGTCGAACATTGAAAAAATTTACCAAATAGATCGATTACTATAAGCTGTTTTCATGAGTTATAGGTCAGATTATCTACTTGAAAGTGAACAATAGTAATTATGAAAATATTTATGATAGATATGATGTGGATAAATAAATAAAAAAGAAACGAAGATAAAAAGATAAATGTGTTATGTTTCGTTTTCGTTATTTAAATATAATAATTGATTTGAAGATCTAGAGGATAAATTACTACACTTCTTGCATTAAACGTCTGAATCAATTGACTACAGCAACAATTACTCTTCCCTTACACATTTTTCATCCTGATCATCGTCAAGATGTAGACAATCTTTGTCTGTTGATTATCTTTTCTTTTCTTTTTGTTTTATAGAAATGAGCACTTCCTTACCGCCACAAAATATATTAGCAATTCAATATTCAGAATTCGATGTTGATATTGGTCCCGTTATTTATTATGAGGTAAGATTTCTTTAAACTATCGCTTATTGTTCAATATCATTTCTATATTATTATTATTTTTTTTTCAAGACAGCTCAAACAGATTTTAGTAATAAACGTTTGTTTGGATCAATTCAAAATTTTGTTTGTCCCCATAAAAGTTTAGAAAATCGATTTATTGTATTGTATGTATTTATTTATTGTAATTTTATTTTCTATTTGATTATTATTACTATGACACAGTTCTTTTTCCTTTTCTTAGAAAAATTAATCAACAAAAATTAATTGGATGTCCAGTAATTATACAAGCGGATAAAACTCATTCCTATCCTCGAAATCAATTTCGTTTTAATGTTTGTTTTGTTGTACCAGCTGAAGCTGATGCATTAAAATATGAAGTTGCTGTGAGAAAATTAGCAAAATATTTATCCATGCTTGAAGTAAATTAATTTTCTTAATACACATTTGAAGTTCAATATTTAATATTAATTATATTATTTATAGACAAATCATGGGTTTTTATATAATTGTGAACTAAAACGTAACCATTTATCAGCAGCACTCGATATAATTGTTCGTGATATCAATGAAAAAGGACAATGTTCGGTGAAGATTTGTAAGTGAAATAATGATTTATTTTTTCTCCTATACAATATAGAATCTATTTTATGTTAATATTTTTTTAGACGAATCAGTTTACATTAATTTAAAATTATTAGAAAAACGCGAAGATCCACCTACTGTTAAAATTGTTGATGTACCAATGTTTTGTAAAAATATAGATTTAGATCATATTGAACAAATGGATTTAATGACACAACAAGTAAGATGATTTAAGAGACGTTCCACGAGACCACCGAGTATATCAGTCAAACGCGAAGAATAGATTTTGCTAAAAATTACATCATTCGATTCAGCATGAAAAACTGGAGTGACGAAATGTTTTTTATACTTACCTTTTTCTTAGGAGAAAATCAAGTTTTCCCAACACCTAAGCCCAAAAAACCGAAAAATTGACCAATTTCATCTTTTTATGTATAAAAGCGTCAGTTTTCATTCAATTTCTTTGACTGACATTTCATTCGAACGAGCGTAGACAACTGAACAAAACTTGATATTTGAAAAAAATTAAAGTTAAAATAGTAGTCGGAAAAAAGGATTTTACTGAAATTTGAGGATTTTCTGGAAAAACCTGAATAGTCAAACAACCAAACGTCGGGGACTAATGAAAATTTGATATGTTATGTCAAGCAAACAATTCTGCATCATTTAAAAATAACAAAAGCGACACAAATAGAGATCAAAATGGTCCCACAAGATCCAAAGCCCAAAAGGACCAAAAAACAAAAAAATCCTTTAAAAAAACTTTTTTCGCCGGAAAAATAATAACCACAATAATTGATTTTTGCTAAGTATTATTATTATTGTTATTGAAAAGTGTTAAGGTGCGCGTAATGCAAAAGTTGAGCAAAAATATTTTAGTTTTTTGGAAAACTGGATTTTTCCCATGAAAAAAAAACATATGAAAGATGGAAAAGGTTTTTACATACTTAATTTTTAATGAAGATTCGACTGGAAGTGGTTTCCCGGCGAAAAAAGTTTTTTAAAGAATTTTTTGTTTTTTGGTCCTTTTGAGCTTTGGATCTTGTGAGACCATTTTGATCTCTATTTGTGTCGCTTTTGTTATTTTTAAATGATGCAGAATTGTTTGCTTGACATAACATATCAAATTTTCATTAGTCCCCGACGTTTGGTTGCTTGACTATTCAGGTTTTTCCAGAAAATCCTCAAATTTCAGTAAAATCCTTTTTTCCGACTACTATTTTATCTTTAATTTTTTTCAAATATCAAGTTTTGTTCAGTTGTCTACGCTCGTTCGAATGAAATGTCAGTCAAAGAAATTGAATGAAAACTGACGCTTTTATACATAAAAAGATGAAATTGGTCAATTTTTCGGTTTTTTGGGCCTAGGTGTTGGGAAAACTTGATTTTCTCCTAAAGTATAAAAAACATTTCAGCAAAATCTATTCTTCACGTTTGACAGATTTGCTTACGGGTACTTGATTCACTCATGAAACGTCTCTTAAATATTAACCATTTGCTAGAACAAAAACAAAATCCAACAGTTTATAATTATTTTTTCTAGCTAATTGGTAGGATAGATGGATTTAATCATGTACAAAAGATTGCAGCGTTAACCGATACAGAAACTGATCTTGTTCAAACGACTATGGAAAATTTATTGTAAGATTATTGTCACAGATAAATGATGTATTAACACTTGAAAGTTATATTCTGTTTGATTTAGATATTATGAAATTATCAAACTTGTTCCAATATTTCTTGTAATTAATTATTTCTTATAAATTTAAATTCATTATTGATTGTTTGTGTTTTTTTTTGTTTTTTAAACAATGTTTAGTACAAAAATCGTTATATTGTTACACCAGAAATTCGTGAATTATATTCAAATTCTGAACGTCAAAAAGAATTGGCATTTTTTACTGTAAGAAAAGGTAAACGAGTAATGACAACTAGTGAAACAAAAAAGAAGAATTTGAAGTAAAGATCTATTTTAGGCTGTAAAGAATTACCAACATTTTATGATATTTTTCAAATGGTTTGTGCATTTGATCATGGTTCAAAAGTGAAAGATATTACTAATAAATTAAAATTAACAAATATTGATGAAAAGTATGTAAATTAAATAATTTAAATATTTTTATCTTAAAATAATTTATTTGATTTGATTTTTTTCAAGAAAATTAGTACAATATTGTGTATTAAAAGGTTATTTAAGACGTGTTCGTCAATATCCCATATTATTGTATGATGTAAACGAGTCTATATCAAATGGAGAAAAAATGTTGAACACTAAAAATGGTAAAAAATCTTTTAAAGAATTTTGTGATGGTACAAACGATATGGATAATATTCAGTGTGCATCAACCGGTACGTATAGATTATTTTTTCAACAAAATTCTTTTTACATAGAAAAGTTAATTAAAGGATGACTAGTTTATACCTTTTTATTTTAGACAGTCGGCTAAATTCAATGAATAGAAAACAACAATCCTATGATGCATTTTCAAATAGAAAATATCAAATTAATGATCTACCATTACTTACATTATGGAAATAAATTGTCTTATCTTCTTACTTGTTTACATATTTCGTCAATTTAATTTAAAATACATGTTTTTTTGTTAAGAGAAGAGTGTAGCAAGTATAAATGTTTGTTTTCTCTAAACTCTATGATAATGCTGGTATAGGCTAGAGACTGTTTTGATACAATGTTTGCTTCTGATAGATTAATTTGAATTATGTATCAACACTTGTGTATGCACGCGTCCAGAATGAATCTACTCTGATATCTAATCGTTTCCTCTTTTTCTTTTATGCATGTCATCGAAGTTCTATTTTTTTTATTTGCTTGTTCTTTTTTATCTCTAAACATTGTATTTCATCTAAATCAAATAAAAAAACAAGAACAATAAATTATTATGGCTGATACTAATTTAGATATTAGTACAGTAACTTATAATAAAATAGCGATTGTATGTATAATACTATTCAATATTATTAATATCAAGTCACTCTAACATTTTTATTGTTCATTTTTTCAAAGAGAATAAAAGTTAAATTCTTTGTTTTTTAAAGAGATATTAACTTTAATGTTTCTTAGCAACGTTTAAATACAATCATTATCACTAGTTTTAATTCTTAATTTCATTTTATTTCTAAAAATATTTTCTTTTTCAAATATGGTACAAAATAAGAAACGAAAACGATTATCAACATCTTCTAGTGAGATAGTATTGTAACAAAAAAATAACCTGTCTAAAACTATTACAATAATTTTATCATTGATGACGTTATCCAATAGAATAAAATTAAAACGAATAGTAAATAAAATAAATCTAAATTAGGGAATGAATGAATCTTTATCAGAATAAATGGGGTGATATATCAATATTGCACGAAAATATAGACGATATTGAATTAAATTCTAATTTTAATAAATTCAAAAATAAATCTATTAAATTTACATTTTCAATCAATAATGATGACAAAACATGCAGTGAATTACTCATAGCAATAGTCAAAAAAAAAAAAAAAATCTTCAGTTATGAACGTGGAGATGATGAATCTTGAAAAAATATTTTGAATAGTGAAAGTTTTTCCACACGACATTCTGTTGATCAGTGATTAAAAGATAGAGACTATTCTTAAATTTGTAGAATGTACTAAAATGATTATGAAAATTGTATAGTAAGTGGATTCGTAATACAATATTCATGCAAAATTGGTTATTTCTGATGCATTCTTCTGTAAAAATTGTTCAATTTTAATTAGTAGACTTTCATAAGTACATGTTATTAATTCGTTATAATTACGATTACCAAATATTAAATTGAATAATTGTTATATTATTTTCTCGCACCAATGATCCATCCATCCATCCATCAACTAATAGCTCAAATATTGTAAATTCAAAATTATTTATTCTATTAAGTTTAACATTGATATTTAAACTTCTAGTCAATTTTTGAAGAGTATCTAATGCATCATTTATATTTTGTTGATAATTTTCATCTTATTTCAAATTTATCCTTGGATTAATTAACTAATTCACGATAGAATTCGAAATTTGTTTAATTGATAGAATATTTAAACTAAAATCAATATAAATTTGCACATATCAATAATAGAACATTGATAATTGCTAAAAAAAAACGATTTTGACGTAAAAATCGATATCTATGATTATTATGAAATTCAAATTAATTTAAAAATGATAATCATAATTATCTGCTATTTTTATTTCCAAGAATAATTAAAAATAAATTTTTTCAAATTTAAAGAGAAAAGAAACAGATTACCAATGTTGACAAATCATGTTCAGAAAAGAAAAACACTCTTCATTTATTTTCTTATTATATTGAATAAGAAGGGCATGGAAAAAGAGTAATATGTATTATTAACAATTTATGACATCTATTTATTTATCGTACTCTAACGTGACACTAGAAAACAACTATGGTGAAATGGGATGTCCTCTATTCATGGAAGTTACACGAAAGATTAGTAGTTCGCAGAAGAATCTCTCTCTCTCTCTCTCTCTCTCTCTCTTTCTCTCGCTCCAAACAAAGATGTCATTATTAAAAAAAACATAAAAATTGTTATAAAATCATATTTGCGAATGGATGTTCGTTCATCGTCGTTGTTCGTTTATTTTTTTATTTTTTTTCTTTTTTGTTCAATTTACAATAGGGAAATTGAAATAAGATAATCTCAAGTGAATAAACAAGAGATATAGTATATCCAAGCATGCATGGAAAGAAGAATGAGATTGTAGATTTTTCCAAAAAAAAAAATATATATATAGACAAAATAATCTCTGAAAGTGGATAAAAATGAGGGTGAACAAAAAAAGAAGACTTTTTTTTATTTTTGTTGATGAAAAGAAGAAATGTTTGATTATTTGTTTAGAGTCGAAAAAAAAACATTTTTCTTTTCAGTTCAAGAGCATCACATCATGTAAGAAGGAGAAAAGAAAAAAGGATTGCATACAATAATAAATCCCTGATGATCATGACAACTATCTACCAGTCAACACATTAATCGAGCGAAATGATAACATCAAGTTTACAATATGAATAATGATGCTCAACAATTTGATATTCACATGAATCATTTGCTAATTATTGGTTTAATCTTATATAATCAATGTAGTATAACTGTTTATTCAATATTAACTATACCAGTCGGTAAGTGTAAAATATGTTTATTATCAATAAATTAATATCATTTTTATTTTTTGTATATTAAAGGAATAATGTTTGGAAATAAAGTTGGTAATGATTTTAAACGTATTAATCCAATTGCTCGACAATTTGTATTAGATAAACTTGAACGTCGTTATCAATATAACATAACAGAATTGACTAGTGATGAATATAATGATACTGTTGACATGTGGACATCATTATGTAATAAATTATTTAATGGTACAATGTCTATTATATGTTATTCTAATGATAATGAACTTGATTGGTTATCGGGTTTTTCTGATACATATCATGTGCCATTTATTATTATTGGACGATATGTACCATCGTTAAAATATTTTTATTCACTAGATCGTAATCAAACATCTCCTCATTATTTTGTATCATTAATGCCAAATTTAATACCGGCATTAATTGCGTTTATACGTCGATATAATTTAAAAGAAATATATTATATTTATGATGGTATTGATAGTTCTCAACGTCTAAAAGAATTAATGTATATTCAAACACAAACACAATCTTCCGTTTTAAATCAATTACATATTATTAGTCGTTATTTACCAAGTTCAAATGATTCTTATGATTTATTACACAGTATTGAATTGACTAATATGCAAACACGTACAGCACTCGGACGATATGTTGTATTGGATTTTAATGATTTTTCAACTTATCGTACAATGATGGATAAAATAAAACATCGTGGAATGACAACAAATGATTATCATTATATTCTATTAACATTAAAAGCAAAATTATTAGATATGACTTATTTTAGATATGGTGGTGTTAATGTGACGTTTTTTGCATTACCAAATTCATTTAATATAGAAAATGCTAATAATCAACAATATTGTTCAATAGATAATTGTACAATTTTAAATAAAACAACTGATTTATATTTAAAAAATTTAAAACAAGCAAATATTATTGATAATGAACAAACTTATTTATCATTAGAAGCATTGCTTATGGCTGATTCATGGGAATTATTTTTACGTACAATTAATACAATGTTAAATTCAAATGAAACACGTGATAGTTTAAAAGTATTTCGACAAGGACGCTTTTATAATGGTTTAACACCAGGAATTGATTGTAATCAATTACAACCATGGTTAGCTGGTGAAATTTATCGTGAACGTTTATTAAATACAACATTTCAAGGTTTATCGGGCAATGTTCAATTTAATCAAAATGGTGAAAGAGAAAATTATACTCTAGATGTTTATAGAGTGACAAGAAATGAATTACCAAAAAAAATTGGCTTTTTTAAAGCACCATCAACATTAGAAGTAAGAATATTTTTAATTTACATTATTTTTTATCTATGTTATTGTATCGAAATATTTTATTTTATATAGGTGGCTGATGATACAGCATATCGTTTTCGTGGAACATATGATAATCGAACACGATTAATAACCACTATATTCGATGAACCATTTTTAATGTTAAAAAAAGATCGTAATGATACATTAACCGAGAAAACTATTGAACCTGGTACAATCTTGGACGCATCAATGGTTGAAGGTTATTGTGTGGAGTTAGCACATGTTATTTGTCATGATAAATTAAAAATTCCATACAAATTTAGTACGTAAATGTCTAATGTCAATGTGACCTTTTAATTATATTGATATCAGTGTTAACTTATGGTCTAAAATGAAATTCTATTCACACGCTAAATTTAGAGTTATAACTAAATTTGATTTAGTATCATTCGATAATCAAACTAGATTTTTATCTATAATACATAGGGAATTTATTTAAAAATCCTGTATATAAATTTAAACATTTATTCTTTCGAATCCATTGGGAGAAGTTTCATAAAATGATTATATTTAGGAATTGAAACAAAATATGGTAACGAAGTAACAAAAGGAAAATGGGATGGAATGGTTGGTGCATTAGTTAACAGAGATGCTGATTTAGCGATTGGTAAGACACACTATAAACTATTATCTAAATGCCAAGTAATCACATTGTTCATTTATTTAGCCCCATTAACAATAAATGGTGCACGAGAAAAAGCTGTCGATTTTTCCAAACCATTTATCGATCTAGGCATATCAATTATGATAAGAAAGCCGGAAAAACAAAAACCAGTAAGTTTTACTATATAAAAATCATGTTAAATATACTTATTTTTTTTCTTTTCTAGGGTGTTTTCTCATTTATGGCACCGTTATCAAAAGAAATATGGATATGTGTTATTTTATCCTATGTACTTGTTAGCTGTATTCTATTTTTTGTCAGTCGTTTTTCGTGTAAGGTTCTTCAGTAATCGGTCTATATAACTATTAATAGATCAACTTTCGACTCTTTTCATTTTAGCCTATGAATGGTATTTCGAAAATGAAAATGATATTGTACCTCAGAATAAATTTACTATTCATAATGCATTATTTTTTTCCTTTGCGGCATTTATGCATCAAGGTGTAGACTTATTACCAAGGTCCATATCCGGTAAATCTAGTGTTAGTTCGTTTTTTAAATTTCACTCTTATTTTGTTGTTGTTTATTGTGTTTTTAGGTCGTGTTGTTACATCGGCATGGTGGTATTTTAGCCTTATTTTAGTATCATCATATACTGCTAATTTAGCAGCATTTCTTACCGTTGAAAAACTCATAACACCAATAGACTCTGTTGAAGGTTTGGCACAACAAGTTGATATTCGCTATGGTGTAGTAACAGGAGGATCAACAATGGCATTTTTTAACAGTAAGATTTTACATCATTCTAGAATAGAACTATAGCTCTTTTTTTTTAATTGAATTTAAGAATCCACGTTGACAACGTTTAAAAAAATGTGGAATTTTATGCAACAACATAAAGATGATGTTTTTGTGGCATCAAATCGTGAAGGAATTGAAAAAGTACGAAAATCGAAAGGTACACTTGTTTTCTTAGTTAGCAGTATTTTGAATTTATCTAAATATATTTTTATTTTGATATTTAGGTAAATATGCATTTTTATTAGAATCAACGGTAAATGAATATGTTAATGAACGTCGTCCATGTAATACGATGCGAATAGGTGATAACATTGATTCAAAAGGTTACGGTATTGCAACACCATTAGGTAAGTATTGATATTCTTGTAAATTCAATAATAAATATTTACACTTTTCAGGTTCCGATTTACGTGAGGCAATTAATATTGCCGTGTTAGAATTAACAGAAAGTGGGTATTTAGAAGGTTTAAAACAAAGATGGTATTATGAACGATCAGAATGTACGAATGTTGGTGCAAAAGAGTCAAAACAACAAATCGGTACAGAATTAAACTTAGTGAATGTTGCTGGAATATTTTATATTTTAATTATTGGTCTTGGACTGGCGATGATTATTGCATTTCTTGAATTTTTAATTAAAGCAAAATTAGATTCAAAACGCTTAAATTGGAATATACGTGATGTTATGAGACGAAATTTGAGAATATCAATAACAGGAATTGATTTTGATGAAAAAAAAATTGTCAGTTATTGGCCATTATCGCAACAACATCAAAGTTCAAACTCGACACCAAGAAGAAGTTTAGAACAGCAACAACAACTACATGGAAATAGAACACCAACAGTTCTAAGTGTACAATCAGAACGATCATCAACGCCCACGATAAAAGGAATCAAAGATACAAACACCAATAATCTTGATCATGTTTCACACGTTTAATTTTTTCCTTTTATTTTTATTGGCTAACCTACTTATAGCAGCAAGAAGCTTTCATATCCATACTCATACACTCTGCTGCTTTGCTAGGTGGAAAGGGAGAAATCAGCAGCAGCAGTCTTGTTGGTACATGCAGAGCCCTTTCGAAGTTTCTATCTCGTATATGAACGATACTTGCCTACGTGTTATTTAAATTTTTATTTTTAGTACAATCTTTGCGTAAAACGATATTGTTTGACTGATTTTTGACAATTCGATTGTACAATTGATAATGTATTCATTTGTTCGATAAATACTGTTTAATTTTGAAAATATTTCGTGCGTCAAAGTTCTATACACAACAACTACACGTCAATAATAGCTGACATAAAAAGACTTTACCTTAATTAGTTAGCAGATAAAAACGTAACCTTCAGAATGGTACGCATCAAAATATTCTTTAACAATTTAGAACTCAAAAGATAAACTTCGACCAACTTTGGCCTCGAAGATTTTAGTTAAATTAAAGCTAACTAGTACACTACCCGTGCACTGTGACGACTAATTTGGTTAGTTAAATATCACTTAGCAAGTTTTGAAGAGCAGATCCAACTGATCCAAGATCCATTTACAGATCTTCGATAGGAGCTGAGACATGAGCATAAACGCAACAGTTTGGAACCGGTGCGTTTTTAAAACGCGTTAATAGAAGAGAAAAACTTTTTTTATTGTTGAAGAACTCTCGCTTCTCTGTTATAGTAAATATTCTTTCGTGTCCTGTGACCCCTCCCTATTAACCTAACAAAGATTGACAAAGAAATAATTCAATGACGGATCAGCCTGATTAAGAATTTGTTTACAGATCTTCGCTAGGTGCTCCAGAAGCTGAGATCATGAGGCTCATAGCTCAAGCGTCACACAAATCTCAAATTTTTTAATAATAAGGATAAGAGATATGTAAAAGTTATTTCGATACTATGAGTTAGACGGTATCTTAGTCTACACATTAACAAAAATGGTCAGAAACTAGGTGAGAAAATACAGAAAAGGAAGATTAAAAGAGGCTTTGAGCCGGATTCGGAACGATTCTCTTTTTGGTCTTTCAAATCTAAAATAGGACTCGATGTCTTTATCTTTTAGAAAACTTCTTGTGTCTTCCGTATATGAAATTTGTTGGTAGAGCAGTTGGAAATAAGTATTTGTAAATCGAATATAGAACTGTCTGTCTTCCATATATGTTTGCCCTCAGATATTCATGACGTGTATGCAGTATGATAAAACAGAGCGTGCTCTTTACAGATATAAAAACTATTCACACTTCTATTGAGTTTATGACGAGCTACAGTCATTTTATTTTTACACTACAGAAAAGTACTTTATTCTCGAATGATCATAATTTTACAGGGAAATATCATCTGAAGCCTAACAACATCTCATTCTGAAGAGACATCAGAATACCTACGTTACGGCATGAGTAATTCAGGTCAAGAAAAAGGTTGAAAAGATTGACATTTTTCGAATGCTCACAATCTTTTTAGTCATATGCTGGATAGAGTTATGAGACATTTTTTTTGAAGTTGAAGCGTTTCTCTTCAAAATGTTCCTGACTTTTATACGATGTTTCCCCGTAAAATTATGATCATTCGAGAATAAAGTCCTTTTCTGTAGTGTAAAAATAAAATGACTGTAGCTCGTCATAAACTCAATAGAAATTTTTTACGAATATGATCATTTTTACCTATCCTAAGACTTTGAAAGAACGCTACTTCTATAGGTGTGTTCAGAACCAAAATGCTCTCTATATACAGAAAGGTAGAAAATTTTTCGAACTTCAAAATAGTCTTTAGAAAATATTCTTATAAAGAACAATTGCCTAGGTATTGTATTTCATGTTTTGGAGTCTGACATGGCCTTAGCGTTAATAAAATTTTTGCAACAGGAAACTTTCAAACACCTAAACTTTATTTAAATCTTCTTTTGCACATAATTTTAATTGATTATTTTGTCGCAAATTAATTGTCTGTCTTGTGCAATATAAAAGATATATTTTTCTCTTTATCCATCGTCGGACTAAGGATCACTATTTAACAAGACATAAAGTTACGAGACATTAATCATTGTATACAAACACAAACAAACAATATTTATTATTATTATTTTTTTTATTGTTTGCATCTCTGGTAGATTGTAAACGAAAGTGAAATTTTAATTTGGTCAAAGTCAGTTTTTCTGTTGATGACTATTGTAATCATCTTTGTCAAATGTACTATTATCATTATTATTATTATTTATCAAACTCGCCCGTATCATCATTGTCTCTAAATTGTTCTACTGCTGACAAACTATTTTAAATGATGATGAACGTTCAATTAAGAGAGTGAGATTTAAACTGAGATTTAAACTTGATTTAAAAGAATGCGATTCTTTTGCCAGTACTAGACATTGTTTTGTATTATCTGAAAGAGACAGCGAAAATTAGATAACAAAAATCTTCAATCAAGCATTGTAACCGTACGAGATTCGATCTATGCTGAAGAACTAGAGAACTTCTTGCTTATCGTTATTATTCGTTGCTCGTACTGTTGCTCAAGAGAGGGAGGTTGAGTTTTATAATTAAAACTACGGATTTTAGCCGATATTTTTCCGTATCTTATCTGTCTCTCTTTCTCACGGACGAGCGTCATGTGTAATATTACAGTTTTGACATGTTACACTGTTATATAACATATTTTTCAAATCGGTAAAGATATTAAAGAACTGAACGAAAGAAAATATGACTCGATTGAGACTCGAATCCAGCACCATGACATTCCGTGCCAACGCTCTAAACACCTGAGCTATCAAGCCATAGTCGTCTCATATCGTCTTTCACCTTACGTAACATACACATGTCTACATTCTGGCAAGATTTTCACCTTGAAACTGACTGATAATTTTGAACACGACAGACCAGTTAATTAACAGTATGTTGAATATTATGCATGTAACCACATCCTTAGAAATTTTGATTCAGTCATACTTACACAAGAAGAATACTTACAATTCTTTAGATAACAAAAAGCGTGATTAAATCAGCGATTGCTCTCAAATAATGTTCAAACGACTTGAGTTTAGTTTTGAGACTATTTTTTGGTTCTCTAAATACGAACATAAAAAAAAAGGAGATAATTGAATAACGGGAAGGATTGCTCTATTTATTTATCGTATGCACAGAACGCAAGAAATCGTAACATCAATGAATTAATGTTATTTATTCTTCTTATACATGTTTGCTATTTAATATCATCGCTAGAGAGTTGGAATCGATTTAATGATTTAACTCATTTATTATTAAATCATTCATCAGATAGATCAATTTACGAAAATCAATCACAATTTCCACCATCACTACCAATAAATAGCTTTGATTTAAATTATTATGAACAAGTTCGATCGTATATCTACAGTCGTCTATCATCCTATATCACAATCGCTGATATGTGTTTACAAGATCCGTACACATCTTCATTATGTTCATGGCCAAATATTCATACAATATTAAAATATATTTGTTTATTTTCTAATACAGAATTACCACAATTTCGAGGTTATTGTCATATTGAAATGATATTGATGCAGTTTAATTATTGTCGAGTAAAACTAGATGATTGGTGTCAAACATATCGTTTCTTAAATACTCTAAGAGATACACTATATATATGTCGAAAGAATGGTCATGTTCAACTCATCAAACATTATTGTACTAAAGTACTACTAATTGGTGGTTTAAAAACCATAATTGTTTACTTGGTTATGATTGATAAACATCCTCAAACACATCCAAATGAATATATAGAATTAAAACATTTTCTCATTGATTTTGTTAAAATGATTTTCTTTTATAAAACGGATATAATCAAAAAAAAGATAATGAAAACAGGTTCAATACTCGATCAACATGAACATGATGATATACAGGATATTAATTCAATACACAATTATTTACATAGTATAACCGATCAAATTATACAAGAAAATATTATGGATGCTATCCATCTCGCCACGACGAATTATACTCTCATATAAACTTCTATAATTATATATTCAAACACACTTTGATACGTTAGTAACATGATGGAAACGATAACTATGAGCATGCTAATCATGCTGTAGTGGATGCGACTAAATTTAATCATGATAAACGACAAGATGTATCATGTAGCTTCTTGATCAAAGTAGAACTTTTTTACACGGCTAGGAAAGAGAAATAATCTGACAAACAAACAGTTAAAAGATCCTCTGATAACATGGATCTTCACATAAGTCTCTATTATCAGAGGATCTTAGCTTTGATCCCTAGTCAGTCGTAACATACATTTTCTTTTAACTATTTGTTTGTCAAATTATTTCTTTTCTAGCCGTGTAAAAAAAGTTCTATTCATGACTAAGGACCTACACGGTGCGTCTTTATCATGATTAATTAACGTTAATCATGATTAAAACAGCTATAGATATTCTTAAAAAGAACTGAAATAGGTTCATTCATTTAATTTCACCGCACCTTAACCACATTAAAACTTTATAACACTATTAAATTTAGAAAAAAAGAATTATTTGTCAAATATTTCGTTATTTTTGCCGTTTTAAAATGTTTAATATTAATAAGCCGATCGATGTAACAATAACAACGTAGTACGATGGTTTTTGAAATGATGTTTGAAAAATCTATCAACGAATAACTTTGTGAAAATTTCTGCATATCTAAAGATTTATTTACGTGGTTGTTGCCACAAGTTTTAGAATGAGAATTAGAACGAGTGGATATCGAATATGATAAGATCAGTGTCAAAATCCAAACGATTAGCAATATCATTGTACATAATGGACACCACATCAGAATATAGAATAAATAAACATTTCTTTGGTGCAACTAAACAAATCGTGTGTAGTTAGTTAATGATACCAATACCCAGAGAATGTATGTTGAAGATCACAAAAATAAGGCTATGATGAAACGCATAACACGGTTTTTCTGATATTTTCCCGTAGCCATTGAAGTTCAAAGTTCTGTCAATAGGAGGCTTACCTAAGGACAAGACAAGTTGACTACCGGCAAGTTTCAAATTGTGTGTAATAATTTAAACTATCGACCACCATTTTCATTTCTTTCTATAGACATATAATTTTTGGTTAATCGTGATTAGAATGCCAGTGTATTATGACAAACTAGTGTACTGGACTCACGATATACACACACGTATACAATTAGTACTGTATATGGTTTGTTTCATCTACGTCATATAAGCAGGGTGAAGTATGATTGAATACAACTTTTTTATGAAATTCTCCGTAATAATACATTTTTTCAGGCAGGCTTCTTACGAAACCACTCAACAGTGACTCAACTCATTCGCATAGTACACCACATTTCGACTAGTTTCAATCAAGGTTCTCTAGTGGTTACAGCTTTTCTCGACTTCAGTAAGGCATTTGACAAAGTTAACCATGATGGTCTACTTATAAAACTCAAATCTTGATAAAGTCTATAAATGGTCCTGCCGCTAAACGTCCTTAAATGTTTTGAGATGATTTTTCATCGATCAATAATGCTCACTGTCTTGCCGCCTTTACAGATCAATAATATTTCCTTAGATTTTGTAAACCAACATATTCATCTTGGTTTATATCTTACTAAAAATCTTGATTGGACTCTACATATCAACACACTGGTTTCTAAATGTGGTAAGACAGTTGGGTGTTTGAAATTTTTGAGCAGGACTTTATCTCGTCACGCTCTCAGTCTGGCTTACAATGCATATATTTTGGGTTGTATTAACTATGCTAGCGTTATATATTCTTCAACAAATTTGAAGCGTCTGGTTACTCTGCAATATCATGCGTCCCTTGCTGTCACAGGAGCTGTGTCAGGTAGTTCGTACCAAAAGGTAATTGGTGAACTAGGATCGATTCCGAATTGAGTACAATAGTCAGTTGTAAAATAACTCAGTTTGGTTCGTTTGACCTCCATCGTCTTTGTTTTTTCTTTAAAATTGTGAATAAAATATATGACTTGAATGAGCTTTTGACACCAGCGAATACCTGTACCTATCCTTTACGTAGTCAAAACAATGGTAAATTACCAGTGTATCTCGATGGTATCAAACTCTTATAAGAGTCATTTATTCACAGAATCACTGAACTTTGGAACGAACTTCCCTATGACCTTCGGTTACTGACACGATTTCATAGTTTTAAAAACAAACTCAAATTACCGTACGAACTAAAATTTCGACTACCTGTGGCCGAGGACCGCATGACTGACATTGATTTTTTCCGGTGCAGAGTCAATTTCAGTCAATTAAACTTTGACCTCGCTAAGCACCATCTAGTTGAAGAATGTATGTGTACATGTGGGTTTCTCCACGAAATCGTTTCTCACTTCTTTCTTACCTGTTCTCTTTTCACTACGGAAAGATCTCCAATGTTAAATATCTTCAAGATGGTGTTAAAAGTCAACATCATCCAGTTAAACCATATTCTCTTTAGGGATTCAATTTTTTCTGTTATGAATAAACGTGACTTAATCATATTATATAATAGCGTATTAGACTTCATAAAAACGACAAAACGTTTCCGCCCGTGATGTGGTTGTACTTGACCTGTTTTATTGTTCTGTAGTAGACTCGCTCAGGTTGAAATTGATAGAGATCTGTTGAAAACATTCCAATATGATAAAAGAGTTCTTAGAACTTACTCTCGATTATCCTAGAATAGTTTGCTGTTCTTTCTCTAATATATTATCAGCAATGTTTTTTTTTCTCTTCTCTTTTTACCAATTTAACTGTATTTCTCTTTTGATCAAATTGTCACAACATGTAATGAGCATAGCTCGATTTGTTGTTTTAATAAACTTAGTTTAGATTAAAAAAACATCAAATAATCTTTCAATGCACACTAAATGATCAGGTATTCATACAGAAATTTCTGTGAAGAACAGAATAAATTAGTACAAAAATTATTAGATCGAAGTCATTTTTAAGTTTTCAATTGTATTAAACGACTATACAAAAACGAACAAATTGAAAACTGAATACACTTTAAAAAAAAATAGTAAGAAAAACAAGTAGAAAAAATGCAATACAAAACTCGTACACGTACAGATATAAAAAAGCATAAAGACTAAAACTCTTTTTGACGATATTCTTCTGATAGTTGTAAATAATTAAGAGTGAACGGTATGTAGAAAGAGAGTATGAAATGCAATATATAAGACAATGTGTAGATCTGATACAATAATTTATATTCGAATAAACAATTAATACAAAAACAATATATAAAAACAAGATTAGATCATTCTAAATAGCGTTCATTTTGTACTCATTGTCGAATTTTTCTAGACTATCAATTGGACAAATTTCATTGTAAAAACAGAACTTTTCTATGTTATTTTCGTCTGATATAAATTAATGAATGAATGAATAAAAATATGTATAATATAGAAAACATGTCATGTTTAAGAATAAAACAAGATAAGGTCAATGAAGGTGCAACTGATATACGATGAGGTTCAAATTTACTATCAAATGAAGACTGATCAAATGAGAGATACTGTTCATTACTATTTAAATAGATGTTGCTCTGATCCTGATTTTGTTTGTGATAATACTGTTGTTTTTGTTTTCGATTTGAATAATGCAACGGATGAGAATGATATTGTTGATAATGACCACGATGTTTTATGGTCATCATATTTGTTGTTGACCGATGATTACGATAAAGATGGGAATATAGCACGCTTCTAGCACTAGAGGCAGGAATCGTTGTACCATAGAATGTTAGAGTCCAATTAATAAAAATACCTAAAATAGAGATAAGAATGAACAACCTGGTAACTGAGAAGACTTATATTAGCCGAGCAAAGTTCATTTTACTCTTTTACGAAGAATAGAATGAAGAAAGATTCAATTAACGAAATACATCGAGAAAAAATGTACTAATTCATACAAAATATTAATCTCACATACTAAGAATAACTGAGTGTATGCAAAAAAAGATAGCACTGATCATTATATGAATAACCTTCGATATGAACGGTTAATCACATATTTATTACAACTAAGTTAGGCATTTTATTAATTCCATACAGAATTAATTCCCACATTTCAAATGTTCCAACAGTACCTAAATGACTTTTGTCTCATGGAATATATACAGACATAACTAGAAAAAATGAAAAAACAAAAGAACTCACCACTAGTAGCTATATTTACAATTTCTAATGTCCAGATGCCTCTTGGATTTTCACCCCAATTATGAGTGGTCATAAATGGCCAGTCTGAAAATCCATCTGACGATTCGTCCATCATCCTTAAATCTAATAATGTTGAATTTGTACCCATTGGAGATGTTAAAAAAATTTGTAAATTGCCTTAAAAAAAGAATTATTACATAGTTTGTAAACATCAAAAAAAGATTGTTAAAACTTCCATACCCCGATATTTGACCTTAACAGATACTTTAGCTTGTACGTGTTCTAAAAAATTTATTTCATTTTGAGTATTCATGCACGCATCTGAAATAGAAATAAATTTTCGAGTTTCAAATATGCATAGGTTTTGACGAACGCATTCTTATTTATTAATCAAATGAACGATAAAAATTACCTGTATGCATTTGTAATATAACACGTTCACCTTTTGAGAATGATCTTAAACACAGACATTGAAAGAACGTAGTCGTAATATTTTCTTATTTTTTTTTCAAAACATACCGAGCAGTTAAATTAGAACTTGTTTGATGACATATTCTTTGTGCTGGAACAGTTCTCCATTTCTCAGCCAACTTTACCAGTTCTGCAGCATCGATCATTCCATAGCCAAAGGCATGGCTAACTATAAAAGAAATAAAACGTTTTATGCTATTTCATATAAATTAATGAATTACTGATCCATAGAATGCTCTTTTTTATTTATTTATCAATACCTCTTTTACCAACTCCATTCACTTTCCAATCAATAGCGTTTAAATGTTTTGGTTTAGCTGTTTCAACTATCAAATGTTGTACATCACGCCAGGTTAAATTTGGATTTGCTTCTAATGCCAATGCAATGATACCCGCAGCCATTGGAGCCGACGCTGATGTCCCTAAAAATGCAGATGAGAAATAATAATAATAATCTTTATTCATCCATTAATCTATTACCTGTGTGATTTTCAGTACATTGACTTCGTAAATCTGTTGATACAACTTGTTTTTCGTCTGATGCACCACTGCTATAAGTTGTAGCTAATGTTGAAGAGCAGGCTTCACTATACCATGGTATATTGCCGTTTTCTGTAGCACTCGAAATTGATACCGTATAGATACTATTGGTGTAACCGTCACAATTACAATTATCATCATCTTTTCCGCCATTTCCAGAAGCCCATACATAGATTGAACCAAGTCCATTTCTACCCTAAATAACAACACAAAGAGATTGATAAAGTAACGAATTTTTATACGCTAATTTATATTTACATAACGAATTCCATTCTCGAATGCCTGCATGGCTAATGTGGCTGGTCCGTCTACTGTTTTTCCATCATCATCGGGTCCCCATGACTAGAACGAAATATACAATCTTACTTTTATAATGATAAAATAAGGATGATACTAAATAATTACCGCACTATATATGTGGATGAAATCATGACGAAAACTTAAGGCAGTTGCTTCAATAAGATCAGTCACTTCACCGTCTAACATTCTCACACCTGAAACAGAAATTGACATAAGAAACAAATTATTCTCATTTTTAACTCATTTACCACCAATTCTTGCATTATATGCCACACCAACATTACAGATGTTATTGTTTGCTGCAGCTGCAACCTCGCCAGCACATCTCGTTCCGTGTCTACACAAAAATTGATAATATTCGACCTAATGTCATCAACATGAGGAACGCAACATGCTAGCATTAGCATAATTGAGATACATGCAAGAGCTAATGTCACGAAGTTCATACTAAAATAATATAATCTTGAGAGGGGGTAGAAAGACTAGCAGAATCATTGAAATTACAAAAATCTTTTCATATAATCATAGAATGGCACATTCCTATCTCGGTCAGAAAATTCAAAGAAATTTCTCCACCTTTCTCAACGCATCTATTAAATATTCGTGCCCTTATTTGTTTAATATAAAAACATTTTTAAATAGTCACAGTGGATAAAACAGTATTTTTAAGAGAAAAACTGTGACATACAAAATTTAAAAATAATGACATTACTCAAAGTCAAAGTCAGGAGAAAGACTTATTTGTAGCCTTACCGTACCTAACATGACTTTGAAAAAAAGAATACTTATATATAGGATAAAATTATTTAAATTTCTAGGAAATAGGAATGTACCATGTATTTCACGTAATGTTGTCTCGTCACGTTCCATAAATGCAAGAAAGATCAAATAAAAATCTTTTTGATTTAACGACAAACTTCTTTCTATTTTAAATCTGTGAGATCAATCTTTTTTTCATGCTTCGTAAAAACATGCAAGTAAAAGCACCATGCATATACATATTTTACAGATGCATTTACTGTACGCTTTTTTACTTATTATCATTAGTGGGAAGATATCGAGGTTGAGGATCATTATCCCAATCGTTTATATCAATGCTAGCACGCGGTTCCTAAAAAATAGAAAAATAATCGCAGGTTTATTATTAGCGTAAAAAGAAGAATTTGATGTTTTTTACATGATAAAAATTAAACAAAAAGCAAAATGGCGATAGAATTACTCGACTAGTCTCCAATTAATCACGTTGGAATTTCATAAACAACCTACTTGTTCTCATTCGTCGGATCATATCGAGGTTGAGGGTCTTCATCATTATCATTGATATCCAAACTAGCATGTGGCTCCTGGATAGACAATTGGAAAATTATGGTTTCAAGCTAAGCGTTTTCATCATTCGACCTTGGTAGAATGTCCTATTCTATAAGCAAGTTTCTTTTCATTCGCTCTAAGCTTATTTAACTTTTAGCAAACGTTGTGAGCGTTAATTAAATATATGAATTTAAGGCAATGATTATGCGTAAACGATTAGTTGTTTCAGTGGCAGCAAAGCAGATAATTCTAATAATCTACATCTCGTTGCGTGACAGCATCATAAGATCTTAGTACTTACATAATTATCTCTTAAATCTGGATGATCTTTTTCAATGCCATCATCTAAGATTGTAACAACAATATTTTTTCCAGTATAACCCATTCTCCATGCGCCTGATATATTCATCATTCGGCCATGTTCACTTGTATCATGCTAAAAAAGAATAACATAATAATAAATCAAACGATTCAACACTCTTCTATAATATCTCGGATAGAACCTACCATATACCATTGTTTATCCCAATCTGGATCGTTAAATATTGTTGACGTTTTATACGAAGTAACAGACGGATGAAATAGTATCACATTTCGTTTTACACGTTTTTTCACTTCTTGCTGTTGTGCCCACAAAACGGCTGGATCATTTTCTAATTGTTTGATTAAAACATTTTCCGGTTCTAATGAACGTTTTATTCTATTATCAGAACCACCATTCAGTTGCCGAAATACAAAATAATTTTCATGTGGTAATGCCTGAAAAAAACACATTTATCTATTGAATTATTGAAGAAAATGAAAATACACAAGTACTTACCTGTCTTTCAAACTTTAACTGATATTTTTCTGCTATTCGTTTGGCCGCTTCTATTCCACCATTAACTAATAAAACAAATTCATTTGTATAATGTGGTCTAGTTTTATCGATTGTTTCAGTCGATGATGTTGCTGACACAAACATATTGATGTTGGTTACTAATAAATTAATATTGATATTAATAAAAATTAGAGAAGATAGAATGACTGTTAAGGTCGATTTCATGACCTTTAGTTAAAATAAAATTATGAGAACAGCAACAAATATAATTGAATAATGAAGGACGTCGAATTGTTGAATTATATGATGTATCATTAATAACTAAAATGGTGGCCATTAGCGCATTGACTTAGCGTAGTTTAATAAAAATATATATAATATATATCTATGATTCCTAATATTTATGGACGCTTCAATGCTAATTTACGTAACAATTAGAATTTGTGACTGATACTCGTCTAAACAAAAGCAAAAAGTGTACATGATTATACGTAGAGAGAAGTTAATCAGCTTTATAGAATTCATTTATCATCTAGTTCATTGATGAGAACTGTCTACTGCATTCTACATGACGATATCAAATAACCTATATTCTTCCACAAGTCGACAAAATCAGTATTCTTCAACGCAAAAGTGACTTCCACAAGCGTACCACTGTTACAGTTTTTGCACCCAAAATTCTGTTCGACTTTATAGAAGTATAAATTTGTAAGAAATATCTCTGATGTAAAGGTTTTCTGTAGTGAACGATAAATCCAACGCTCCCAAAAGTGATGCTTATTTTTCAGTCAGCAATACCGCATATTTCAACGACGAAAGACGTTCTTTAGAATCGCATAATTTTTTAGTAATATCTTTTTTTAAAATTCAACTATGAGTAAGTATCTGACGTGTACAAATTCTAAAATTACTTTTAGTGGGATGAATTTATAATGATGCCTATGTATAACTAATTAGTTTAGAATTCTACAGGAGGCCAAATAGTATAGTTCTTTTATGTTTAGGAAACATATTATTAACAATCCTTTTTTTGTCACAGAATTCATATACAGTTCGACAAAACGAAAACACTTGCTTTTTTTATTCACAGTATATAACGAATTAGCTGTACATATATATATATATATATATATACATACACACGCTGTTATAAGGTCAAAATATAAAAATGATCTTTTATAGATTAATTTCTTCCAAATAGAATATATTTATATATCTGTAATTCTGTACTTTTTTTCAGTGATTGACTATATATTATATATATGTACAAATTGTCTCCTATTTCTTCTTTTCCTTAAAGGATAAGCACAACAAAAATCATCTCACTATATATTAAGCGGAAATAGACCACATATCATACGAAATATAATGTCGTTGTTGGTTGATAAGAGAAAAGAAAAAAAAAAGAACATCTAATTAATTACAGAGTCCTGTTGGGGAATCATGTTGATAAATTTTAATGAATATGATGATTAAATGGTCAAGGACACTTTGTTTTTCTCCTAGACAGGCAATAGAGGAAGGAAAAAAAAAGATCTTTAATACGAATGTTCTTCAGTGGAATGAAATAACATCATGTTTAATAATATTATAATCTTCTATAAAATATGACAAACTACAGTTTGAATAAACAAAACGATGACTTGTATCACAAAACTACTACGAACATTATTTTCTATTTCAACAATTTAATAACTGTTTCATCTATTCCAGTATACAAATTAAGGCATGAGAATGTTTCAACATTATCGGGCTAACTAACTATAAATTCATCATTCTCTACATATGAAAATTGTTTATTACGCATAGTAGGTTAGAATATGAACATAGAGTGTGAATGACAATTACTGCATAAAGAAAATTCTCTTCCTTAATCTCACTAAGTATAGTGCAGTTATCTTGATGGACATCATCAAGCCAAATGAATAAAAGATTACTATAATCGATAAAGTGAGTAGTGTTAATGAGGTTCGAGTTATAAATAGTCTTAAAGTGTGTGAGTGTCTCTCCTTCTTTCTCTAATGAAAGACATTATTTTGCGTAATTTGTGCATATTTTCTCTATATAAGATGTCCTTGCATACAACTACTCCTATGGAATCAATGAACAAGAAGAAACAGGAGAAAGTGATAGAAAAGAAAATACTTAGTACTATGAATGATATGAACTATCAATGACGAATCACATCTGTGTCGATACGCACTAATATATTGCGTAAAAATAGTAAAAATAAGTCAGCTGTTTGGTTTATACCATTAGTTTGATATTTCGTTTCTTAAGTCACAAATTACATAACGAGAAAAAAAAAAGAGAGAGAAAGAGAAGTTGATCACTTTCTATTTGGTTTGATCTACTTTCGATTAATGACTGTTTACATCAATTGACTAAATGAGCCAAAGTTGTTTTTCATACACAAAAAAAGTTAATGAACAAAACACACATAGGCGATTACTACTACCTCAAATGAGCTGAACAACATATAGTAGACGCAATAAAACTAACATCTTTTTTTCACATCGGATTTCTGTCACATTTATGTCCTACATCTGAAAATGCTCATATTCTTTCCATTTCATTATAATTTTTCCCTTCTTTTTTGTTTTTTATTTTTGCGACACCAATGACAACAATAATTTTTTTTATGTTCACGTATTGTACATCTATGTATGTAAATGGATTACAATCTCGCTTTTTTTCGGCTAAAAATTAATCTTTATTTTCTTTACATAAGTATTTTTCAGTTACTTTCATGTCTTATATATTTTACTTTGCGTCATTTTTAATTTTAAATAAAAAACAACGCATATTTCCGCCTGATCATTTCTAGACAGTTTCAAGTATTTAGAATAGAATAACATTTGACTGTACTGACATTTGTATACAAAAAGTGAGCAAAGGAAGGAGAATAATTTATACAACTTTGAAATGTTCGAAATCGAGCTAACCAACAGCATGAAGGGGCATGTAGACGTTTTGGACACGTAAAATGACATCTCAATGAAATACTATTTCCGACGTCAATAATTTATTCGCTTATTTTCGCGTTTTTACACGCAGTTCAAAAATTCTTTCTTTAGAGATTCTGAAAGTTTCAAGTTCACGACTGATACAGATCAGAAGAAATGGATTTTTTAATTTTTCGGTAGATTTTGGCTTATTAAGCAAACGATACAGTGGATCAAAAATTATTTGTCCTTTTATTTTTCAATTTTCTTCTCGTCTATAATAATAGCTAGAACAAATTTGAAAAAAGATTTGAACAGTTGAACAACTTTGCAATCTGATGTGACGTGTTTAAAAATTCCACCAAATTTCTGAAATCAGGGTCTGTGGAAAACGATAATGTCAGAAATCCATGTTGTAGAAACAAGTCCCGGTTTTAGAAATTTCAATGAAACTTTTAGACACGCCACATCAGATTGCAAATTCTATTATAGTCGAGGAGAACATTGAAAAATAAAAGTGAACAAATAATTTTTGATCCATTGTATCGTTAAAACTGAACAATCCATTTCTCCCGATCTATACCAGTCGTGAACTTGAAACTTTGAGCATAATTATTCTATGATTGGACGTATCACTGGTAAAAATTTCAACTTTCTATCTTGAAAAATTGTTGACTTACATGCTAATTAGTTTTGACTGTAACTAGAGTAATTTGCTTATAATCCGGGAAGGAAATCATATGGGCCGGTATCCTCTTGGATTTTTTCTAGTCACACTAGGCTCTACCTATCTCCATAATATCAATCGAATCGGTGTGGTACACTTGGTGAGGTTCTCTCGTCAGCAGTAAAAGGAGATATATAAGACAAAGTTTTCATTTGATAGATTAAAACTATTAGCTACAAACTTTGTTTTAAACTTTATTTTCGAAAGTGTCTAGACTAGTAGAAATTTTCATGTTTCTCGACTGCATTTTCGAAACGAGGATGTTCTCTCTATTTTGACTATGTAGTGTTTATTTTTTTTTTGTCAAGGGTGTGCTCAATTGATGCAATAGATATAACCGGTTCTCAAATGTTATTGTATATACGTACGCTTGAATGGAAAAACCGTTAATTTAAGTTAAATAGTATTACGACGTTAATAAGAAACATTACATTTCGAATGCATGCACATTAAAAGGACTAGAACACCACAATAACACACATAAATAAGGACGAAAAAAAAGTGATTTGATCAGAAATAAATTTGACAAACAAATTTTAAATGTGTTATTCTCTTTTCGGTAAAAATAATATGACAAATGATAAGATGAAAGCGTCAAAAAAGTCTCATAAAAAAAAAGCATTTGGATGCTATACTATGTCAAAACATTATTGAATTATTATCATTTTGGATCATAGCAACTTTTCTCAACATAGAAAAGAAAACCTGAAAGTTCATATATTTAAAAATAAGATTACCTTTTAAAATAAAAATAACTTTTAAGCCTTAATAGACAAAAGAATAAACAAAAATTAAGAGTACGATCACTCATAATTCAAGACAACTATTTTCAGAGATCAGCAAAAGAATTTCACAACTGATATTCAAAAGAGTTTTTATTTATGCGAATTTTTTACTAAAAGCGTCACATAAAAAATAGCATATCATCGGGTGCGTGATGGCACCAACCTGATACATTTCAACTCTATATACAAATTGATTTCTCTATGCTGTTTAATGTGACCATATGTCCATTTAATTTTTACTTGTTTCATGTTGAAGAGTTGAAGTATCTTTTTTTTGTGTCCATCGAGAGAGATGTGACGACAAGACTGTGTCCCATAGAGAAAGCGAGAGAGAGAGAGAGAGAGAGAGAGAGAAAGATTAATGAACAAAAAAGAAGAAACAAAATATTCCCGTTATCAAATTAGTTCATTCAAAATAACTATTTATCTCATTTAAATAATTTTTCGATGAATACTATCAATTTGTGTATGATACCTACTTGTTATTACTCTCAGACATTTATATTTAATTTTTCTATCTATAAAAAACACATTTTTCTGCCATGTTTGTTTTCATTAGTTTGAATAATAATAAAAAAAAGTATAGACAAATACGGGATAAAATTATTCGATCTTTTGATGTCTGTCTGAAAAAGATGAAACAAGTATTCTTACTACAAATAAACATTATTTCATAGAAAAGCAACTGATAGACAATGACTTTAGTAATAAATAAAATCAATTGTCTAATTATATTCACTAGTACTTGTCTTCTACTAGACTATGAATTGTAAAAGACTATCAGATGTATGGTTAATAAGTAATAAACGTAAAATCCAAACTATCTATTATTGAAAAATAGAGACTGACAGTAATTACATTATATATATATATATATATAGTCACTTGAATAGAGAGAATGGAAATAATATAGATGAAAGTATACATAAATTGTCATCTATTCAATTTTTTTTTCAATTGTACATCTTCAGTAGTGATGTAATTGAATCTAATCTCAAATATAAAACAGGTATAATCCTTTAAATAATGAACATGTTGACATCGAGACCTTTACCCAAATAATTGCATCATATTCTCATCTCTATGTGATTAACCCAGTTACCATACTTTGACAAAAGGAGAAATATGAATGAACACACTGTTATAGTGAAGATATAGTCTTCTATATTATCATATTTTGACGACAACTAAAACATGTAGTTATAATAAAATTGTCGAAATCTACAGATTACTAAAGGCAGCATTCTTAAAATAATCTGCTATTATTTCTCACTATATATAAATAAATAAAAAATTGATTTGAAACTTACCAGAAAAACATCACCATTAATCGACTAGGAAGATATTGGCAGGGCAATTTTTCTATAGGCCATGAGTAAAGACAAAAAAAAAAGCTGTTTGTCTATGCTCAGCTTTCACTTTTCTTCTTCTTTATTCTTCTTCGTTGTCTTTATATAAGATATATATGTTCAGTTTAATTTTTTTCTTCTTCTGTTGTTCACATACAAACTGCATGGACAACGATTAATTTAATATACATGGTTTGAACAAAAAATCATTTAGAATGATGATAACAAGTAATCCATTCATCTGAAAAACAATAATAAACATTTACTATAATGAACATATGGAATAAATACTCTTTCGTTTATCACTATTCATGCATATGATCACATTAGTCAAAAAGACATGAGAAAAGACATCTTATTGTTCCAAAAAAATGAGTTAAAAATTCTTCAACACTAATTTCAACAAAATAAAATAAATAATTTTAAAAAATAAATTCATAGAGGATTAGGAGTTTGTTCTCAACTTTGATTTATAAAATAAAAAAATTTAAATAGGATTTCTAACGTAACGGCGAAAAAAGAACTCTAACAAATAAATAGCATTAGATGATATACAGTATCATCAAGGGAATTATACGCGTAATAACATGAGTTCACATGAGAAACATAAAAATTATCCTTTTCATACTTAGTAATTAGGCCAATCCAATCGCAAACTAATTCAAAGAAGAATATAAAAAAAAGTTTCGTTTATCCCATGAGTTCATTCAACACTACGCAATTGATTTATAAATGAAGTCTTTGCATGTTTACTTTAACAAAAATTGATTATACGAAACCGTTTCAGAGTGTCTCCTACTTTCTTTTCTCTTCTTCATTCTAATGCGAAAACAGCATATGTTCAGATAAAGGACAATTTTAATCTATCTATAAACTCAATTCAATTAAAAGAGTAAATCATTATTTAAAATCTACATCATATTGCATGTTCTGTAATAGTAAAGAAGATTTTCACCAATGTACAACATGCAATAACAAAAGGAAGTGAAAATTTTTATTCATTTCATGTATTGTTGGCGTTGAACATTGTTCTATTATATGTGCATGGATGAATTTTAGCTACTATTTGTTGAGTAACTTTTTTGATTGAAAATAATTAGACAATTTTTACCATATGAAAGAGCAAACTTGATTACGTCTTTTTTCGAGAAAAAAAGCTTAAAATTGATTGACTGAACTTTCATCGTAACTTCTACTATCGAAAAATATTTCATCGAAAAGTGACTGTTTCGAAAATTTTTCTTAGTGCGAATCCTCAAACTATCGTCACTATCTTCACAATCACAAACTCAAAATTTCCGATTACATTTGACATGTTTATAGACGTCTGAAAGCACTAAGAAAAATTTTCGGTATATTCATCATTCCTAGTTAAAAACAGAATTCGGTAAAAATAACGTTTTCTGACACCCCCTACTGAAAAACTCATAAACCGCTAAAAATAAGTTCAGATGACTTAAAAAATTGAAGAAAAATCAGTTGTATATCCTAAACATGATTTCAAAAATACATTGAGCAAAAAAGAGTCACGTTTTATTAATAAAATTTGTATATTTATTATATTTTATCAACTTTTTACGTCATTTGAACTCATTTTAAATGGTTTGAATTTTTTCACGTTGAGTGACAATAGCCAGGAAGCATTTTTTGTTTATTTATTTTCATATAGTTTAGCTATTTACTAGATAACATCCATTTTTACATTCTCGTTTCGGCAAAAAACGATTTAAGCTAAGACGAAAAATATGCAGACTTTCAGTGGAATTTCTTTTTCGTCGGTTTATACACCATTCGATAGAGAATTTAACGGCGGTCACGAATATCACAAACCCGCCTCCTCAAAGCCTTTCCTCACTGAGATAATCGCAAAATACTGCGAGGGGCCCGAAAACCCGAAAAATGCCCACTTTTAGAAAAAGCTCTGCAGTTTCGTAAAGAAACATCGTAGAGCTTTGCTTACATTTTTCGGGTTTTCGGGCCCGATTATCTCTTCGATTATCTCAGTGAGGAAAGGCTTTGAGGAGGCGGGTTTGTGATATTCGTGACCGCCGTTAAATTCTCTATCGAATGGTGTATAAACCGACGAAAAAGAAATTCCACTGAAAGTCTGCATTTTTTCCATCTTAGCTTTCCGAATATCAAATTATTTTAAACTGAATAGTAAACGAATAAAAAAGGACCAGCGCGAAAATTTCCATGGTTGTGATGGAAAAAAATGACAAATAGACAACTGCTCTCTCCGAAAAGCATGAGTTTTTTTTAAATTTATATTAATCAGTAGAAAATATATTATTAAAAGATATACACCGTTTTCGAACGATATTTGCATAGTGAAAATAGTGTTATAGTAACGTTTCTACTACTAAATATAGCTCTTATGGAATATGTAATATAATTCCATACAATATAATGCAAGTAGAAATGAATCTGAGAAAGACAATCTGATACACATATGAAAACGAACAAATTGTTCTTTAAGTGTAGCATATACGATCAGCCCGAAAAGATGTTTTAGCGAGCGATTTTGCCTCACTATAAATATTTTTCTCCACGATCACAACGAGACATTCGCAAACAAGTAGAAGGCTATATTGTTCTATTTATGATAAACTTCAATGTTGACAAGAAACTTTTAAAAAGATGAAAATGGAAAAAATTAGAAGAATTGTCCTTTTGAACAATAGCACAATACATTTCTATATCATTGTATCTCATTTTACTTCCATTATTTAGCGAATTTTCCGTACATGTTACGCTTGGAAGATTGCCTAAATAAAATCCATGTTAAAAGAATTATTTTCATATATTTATAACCTTCACGGAATGCTGTTAAAGTATATTTATTTTTCTACAAAATAGACAATAAAAATATTGGTAACATTCTGCAACAATACTGGCTGTTGATCTAAGAAGTACTTTTTGCCATTAAAAAATTTATCGCAGTAGAAGGTCATCCTTCACATGCGACTTGCTGAACAAAATAGAAGAGTAGATGATCTTCTAATCTGGGAAGGAGTTTGATTTGTTTCTTGATAAAAAAGAATTTTATGCGCTTTTTTAAATATATACACGCTTCCTTTTGTACTTGATATCGACAAATATCTAAAATACAAAGTGTCTTGTCTTTTACCCTTATGCTTCGAATTACATGATATTATTATCATAAACAGAATATTCACCATCACAAATTTAATATAAAACAAAAAAGACTGTCGATATAATCGAGGCTGGTTTTACGTATTTATTATTATTCATTTTCTGATGTTTTCCTTCCTATTCGTACGTACAACAAATCGTGCGTATTCAAGGATGAACAAAATATATTTTACATTTCGTTTACACACTGAAACGAAGTTAGAAGCTCATTTTAATGATGAAACTGTAGTGAAGAAAAAAAAGAGAGAAGATTTCGAGCATACACAACATTCTCTTAAATAAACATTCTAAATAAGAGTAAATAGAAAAAGAAAAAATATTTTAAATTGACGAACTAAAATCGCCATTAAAAACAGCTTCTACCTGAAAGCTTTTCAATTTGTACCAGTAACACATGAAAAAACTGAACAATCCAATTAAATAGTAAAAAATAGGTACGCACAGTTTCTCAGACATTAATAACGAAATCATATAGGGACAGAAACAGAGCAAGAAAGAGAAAGAAAATACTATTATAAAAGAAAAACAAGAAAAATATATCTTCAAGTCGTGGTTGCAAGACAAAAGTAAAATAAATATTCAAGGTATCAATTGAAAAAAAAGAAGAGATGGCGATTCGAATTTTTATAAGATATAACTTTGCCATTAAAATATTCAATTAATTGACATTGAATACATGAGAGGACTAAAAACACAATGAAAACGAGAATTGAAAAAATGATCTAAAAACTTTAGCGGATCTCAACCTTCTAGAGCATACTTCAATAGTTTAATTATCCGTTAGGGTTTGAGAGGAAGACGAGGATATAGATGATGTTGATGTGGCTGAAATTTGTGACTGAACTACTTTATTGTTTGAATTAATTGCATCTGATGGCGGGATGTCAGAATTGGACGGAGTGATAGGTACAGATGGAAGAATATTTGCTGAATTAACAGAACAGACAGGAAATAATGGTGGCGTTGATAGAATGACATGTGGTGGTGATTGTTGATGATGAATATGATGAGATGAATGTCTATTAGGAGTCGGTGCTGTTGTTGTTGGTACTTTATCTGCATTGGTAAGACTTGAGAAATTAAATTGAAGGATTGTATCATCATGCGAACTGCTAACAATCTGAAATTCGTCAAATTGTAAACGAAATACCCGACCGGTATGTTCTGTTAATGTTCGAATACAGAGCGATTGAGCTGGTGATCGAGGATCAAGTGCTAGTTGTAAATCCCATATTTTTATTTTTCCATCATACGCTCCGCTAACAATGCGTTTTAAATCAAAGCGAATACATCGGACTAATTCATCGTGGCCTTCTAATATTCGTAAACAAGCACCACTATCAATATCCCATATGCGACTAAATACACAAAATAAAAAAGTTAATTAGAAAATTAAAAATGAAAGCAAGTAATGTCAACATACATTGTATTATCTGAACTGCCACTAACAACAATTTTATCACGATATTGCAGACAAGCTATACCACGTTTATGTCCTAACAACGTTCGTACAAATTCACACGTTGTCGTACACCAAACTTTAATTGTTCGATCACCACTTGCAGTCACTAAAAAAGAAATAAAAATATATAAAAAGAAACTAATAATATTTATCCAGTCGATTTGAAAAGTAAAGTAGTTCAAGAATAATAAAAATGCTATTTTTTTACCTATGTATATATCATCAAAATCGACAACATTAACAGCCGCTCTATGACCAACAAGTACTCGACGTATTGCTATATCAGTCGGTGAATTGATTTCCCATACAGCTATAGAACGATCTTTTGAGCATGTTACCATTGTCCCATCAATAAATCGTAGATGTAATACGGCTTCACAATGATGTAATAATGTATTCAATAATTCACCAGTTTTAACATCCCATACACGTATAGTTGAATCACTTGAACCGGTAATAATCACTTTTTCGTCATATTGTAAACATAAAACACTACCTACAAATATAGAATGAAATATAATAATTCATAAAATAAGTAATTCTAACAAATTCACCATTATGTCCAGTTAAAACTTTTGTACATTCTAATGTTTTTCGATCCCATATTTTAATTGTATTATCTCTTAGTCCACTGACAATTTTATCATCATCATATTGTAAACAATAGACACCTTTACTATTCTGTGATCGACATTGAATTTTTTGTAAAGTAAAATTTCCCGTACGCCAATTTGTTTCAATTTTTTCAATATCTTTACATATTTGTGGATATAATTGACGATAAAATCCATGTGTTTTCTGTAATTCACCATTTTGTAACATTTGACGAAATAAATAACGATTCCAGCCACGTTTCTCAGATAAACGATGCCACAATGTATCATTTATTACTTTTCGTTCAACTAATTTTTTCCATAACATACCTGAAAACAGCAAAAAAGTTAGAATAAATATAAGTAGGAAGCTAATCTAAAAAGATACATACCTTGCGAAACGACATGATACCAATCTTGGCAGACAAGCTCGGTAGCCATCAATGATTTATCATCTAAATAACTGAGAATTTTTTCGGCAATATGTTCTAGTCCTTTTGTCGATAATTGTCCAATAAAATCACGTTGTAACATTGGAAATAAAATTTGATTAATTTTTCCTAATTGATAATGATGCATACGTTTTAATGAATCTTCTACAATCTTTAATTGTTCACTATCTGTCCATTGTTCGAATCTTTTAAGAAAATTTATACTATCTTGTTCATAATTAGATGTTGATTTTTTACTAATTGTTGTCTCATCTACTGTCATTTCTACTAGTTCGTTGGAATTGGATGATGACACTATTATATCCATAGAATAAAAATTCAATTGATCAAGATAGTTTTTCAGATCTAAAACATAAAAAATTAGAGTATAGAAGAAATTTATTTTCATTCTGAAATATATTTCCATTATCGAAGTGAGTTGTCATTTAATGACATACAAGAATTTTTCAAACTTAAGTCGATCACTATAGATACACCTTAAAGTTCGACGAACTACAATGCAAAATGAAAAGATTCGAATTTGAAACATCTCTATTGTCATATCGAAGAGTTCACCATGCACAATTAGTAATTGTGAAAATGGTTAAAAAAGCCAGACAGTCCCCCAAGTTACTAGGTACATCACAACTCATCGGTTTCTCTCTTCCTCTGGAACCGATTTGGACATAATAAAGATGCGACATATTCCACCATAGCATGTTCTACACAGACTAACAATGCTGACCAAGTTTATATGTTCCATTGAGAAAATTCAACTTTATTTTAAAGTGATAATTTTGTCTTAGTTTTTATTCAAAAAGGCGAGAAACTTCGTTTTTTTACAGTCTGAACAGCTTTTGGCTGAAAATTAAATGAATCGCACACTCCAGTCCAATGTTTTCTATAAAGGGAAGATAAAACAGCAGAGCACAGATATAAGTAAGAAAAAAATCTGACATTACTTTTCTTTTTGTCGTGACAACAGACTGCCCAATAGTATTAAATAAAATGAAAGATCACGTCTTCATTAATTCCAAGAAACGTCTGATATTTTATAGGAAAAAAATTATAGATATAATTTTTAATTCAATAATGTTAAAATAGACATATGTCAGACACTTTTTTTGATTGACAATTTACCAAGAATTAACTCATTATTCAACTTATATAATAATATTGACTAACGGAAAGAAGAGAAAAGAAACTTTTTTTTATTAATGACGACACAATAAATAAAAAGGTGTGTAAGTGATGATGTGCATGTACAATGATCTAATAAGTACATTGATTATAATAATAGAGAGTACAGGTCGTATTCGAACGTATGTAAAAGTATATTGAGCAAGTATAGCTACCAAAAAAAAAAGAATCTATAGTGAAAAGTTGTTTCTCTACTTCTCGTTCTTTTGTTCGTTTCTTGTCCTTTCAGATTTTAAATTTTGTCTTACATAGTAACAGCTACATATATGTGATGATGAAAATGAATACCTTCTTATATTCACAAAAAATTTATAAAAATTCAACGTATTCTGATCACCATCAATTATTATCACTTTTTCTAACAAAACAAATAAATTCATAAAACGGACAGGCAATTTTAGAATTGTATACAACCTACTGAATGACTGTTGGTAAAAAAAGGAAGTGATTTTTTATAATCGTAACTATTTCGTTTAAATGATGACGAATCGAATTGAACGCACCTTAAATAGTTAAAAATAAATTAAATAATCAACTATAACCTACTGATAGTTAATTCTTTTTTTCTGTCTATAATTTCAATTTTGACAAGAAAAGATTGTATGAAATTTAATTAAGAGAAGAATTAAAAATTCATCGATAGACATGTAAAAGAGAAAGAATCAAAATATATCTGTTATTTTGAAATAATCAAATTTTTTATACGCTTTGTTTATATAGAGAAAAAAAAGAAAAAAGAGAGAGGACACATTTTCTTCCCGGTCATCGTCGGTAATCATAAAAGTATCATACATCTTAAAAAGATTTTTCATAATTATCATCATCATATTAATTTAGTTGGAACTTGAACGTACACATTATTTATTAAATATATATCATTAACAATTTCCTCAAATTGAATAGAAATAAAGATTTCATTTAAAAAATTTTTCATGAACAAAAAGCATGGGTGAAAAGAGAATAAAATTCAATTTACGACACATGCACGTTTTGAAAGGATGACGTTTCGTTTTTGGTGTAAAAACTCTGTAATACAGTAACAATGATTTTACCTTTGATTGATACTTATAACAAGTAATGATCATATGAGTAAGAAGATTTTTCTTGTTAATAAATCTTGTACCGCTGATCTACGTGATCTTTGCGTATAATCTAAAAAAAAGAACAGATAATTTTGTCTAAAAAACAGTTTAGAAGAGGCTTAAAGAGATAAAATCAGGAGTTGCCCTCTATTTTAACTTTCATACTTACACCTGTGGGATATGACACATGCTTCCTACTCAGGTGGGATACGATTTGGGCGAACCCTATATGATACATGATGTTTAACTTTTCCTCCGTTATCTGAATCATTCAATTTCTCTTGTAACTATACAAACATTAGAGAACAGAGTACAATTTCAAAGAGTCATTCGCTAAATATTAGATGCATCCATTTATTAGACTATATCTTGGATTTTATACAAAAACCAGACTCATCTTCTCTTTTTGAAAGCACATGATAAAAAATAAGAATTTCATACATTTAATCAGAAATCTGTAACAAAATAGCACTGAAAGATAATTAGACTACTTTACATTAGAAATCATTTCTATAAGGGAACGTACTAAAGCGGATATATTGCGTTCATAATAGGTTCTCTTTAGAAAATTAATAGAATGCACATAATCAGGGATGTCGACTAAATTAAAAAATAAAGGAAGACTTTTTTTCTACGAAGAAAGAGACAAGACAAGTCACGTTATTTGTCGTCTATAATGTTGTTGGGAAAACCGAAATGAAAGCGTAATAAAAAAGTGAAAAGCCTATTAGAAATGGTCAGACGAAAAAATCCTTGTAAAGGAATCACCCAATAGGATATGTTTTTGCAGGAGCCAATCTCCAAATGTGGGACTGTCTTTCGTAGCAACCCTGTACACAACATACATAATAATCCGTACAAGCAAACAAACATACACATTCGAAAAGTAAATGAAAATCAACTATTTACAGTGAAGATTAACTATTTACACCGGTTTACAAGATGAACCCACATTCAGTCATGGTGTCTAATGAAATACAAATGATATTTTTTAAGACAGGGGTAAGTAATTGTTCTTTAAAGTTATCCATATTTTTACAAACACTGGTACTGATGTGATGCTGTTTCATCTTGAATCATTGAAATATCTTTTAGATAGATCAATTATTTTGGCTATTCATCCTTGTATTTTCATTTGTTTCGACTCGAATGTCTTCACTCAGTGCAAAAAAGGTAGTGTTAAACAAATATTCTACATCAAAAATCACCTTATTGATCTCGAAGCATAACTAGGGAAGTATTAGAGTGCATTTGCCTTGTAATATTATGCAATCTGTAAATAACATGAGAAACAGCAGCGAATAAAATCAAACATCACTTGCATAACATTACTTCCTACTTTAGGTGATGTTATAGAACTATTTCACCAAACAAAGCAGATTGAAGAATACGGAAAGAATAACTTTAAAAGAAATACTTCTTACATACTATAAGAAATTTTCTTTCAAGAAAACAGATTCTTTTGCGCAAATTAAACAATTAAGCAGAAAAGAACTTCTCGCTTTGTGATATGACCTCTTCCTCCTTTGCGGCATATACCAGAATAAACAATTGATTTGCATTTTGGTTCACCAAACATAATGTGGGAAGAAACCTCTATACCCTCACAATATGAAACATTTCTTTTTATCCATAGATCACTACAGAAGCTAAAGCGAAATACAAATAGTTTTAAGTACTAACCAGAAGAATGTGAAGCAAGCCTAGAGATGACATGAATTCCAATTAAAAACCAAAAAAGTGTAAATCCCATGTCGACTCGTGCGGTGTTTGTACGCGCACTTCACGCCGTTTACTATTCATACGTGTATCGATACGCGTATGAACAGTATATTTTTCTCTTAAAATTACGGAATAACTCAGCTTCGATCTTGATAATTTATTTTATAGAGCGCTCGTGTCTACGTACAACTATTTTATTCGTTTTGTATGCCAACCAATAGAAATTCAAGATGGCCGACATGCCTAAAATTACGCTAGAGCGCCTACTTTACTCAAAAATAATGCAAAAAAGTGAAATTTGTTGTATAATTCGTGAATAAAAGTCCTAATTATATTGTTTCCGTCCAGTGCGATGGAAACAGGCTTGAGTGCGTACGCTTAATGCGAATTTAGCGCTAAATAGCTTGTTTTCGATCATTCATTCAACCCACTCGTATGTCCGCAACTCTTCAAGAAAAAAGCGCTTTATTTTTGTGCAAAATACAATGATTTTTGAAGACATTGCGGTGCTTTATATTGTCGTTTGAATGACAAACTCAAGCGAACTTGTCTATTCAAGGAAGATTATACAATATATTCATTATTTAGCCGAGAAGAATAAAAGACTGCAATATTTTGTGGAGAAAGCCGTATGAAAGCTGATTTGCAGAAGTCGTTGAACTCGGTTTTCCCCCTCATAGTTTTAGCACTATCGGATAGAGATAATAGCCCAAAAAAGCTGTTTTTTCACGAAGAATTCAGTTTTAGCCAACATTGTTTTCTTTGTTCCTCATTTTTGTGCAGATTTTGAGAAAATCACAGATACGGTTTCATAATTTTTCGATCTATTTTTTTCAATTTTTTATAAAAATTTCATCTTTTTTTCATTTTTATTAATTGAGTTATAACTGTTTTTTAAATTCTAATATCATATTCGTATTCAGCGTGAAAAACTACGTCTAATAGACCACATATTAAGTTTTTAAAAAGTCATCATTTATCATACGTCCTTCATATAATAAATTCTAATGACAATTATATTCTGAACTATAGTTGCTTTTTTTTTGCAATCAATAAAAATGAAAAAAAGATGAAATTTTTATAAAAAATTGAAAAAAATAGATCGAAAAATTATGCAGTAGTCATCAGTGCAGAGCAATTTTAGGAACATAGCAAAAACGTTGGAGAACTACCAAATATTGCATTTTATAGCCCTATCTAAGGCGCAGTTTCTGACAAAGTCTGACGAGTGGACGCTTCTTCTCAGATTGATACCATTGATCACAGTAAACCTATAATTATCACTTTAATCAGAAATAGGGTCAAGTTGATGAGAAACCATCTT